CTTTTATGTACCGACCGCTATACCATACATAATGAAGAACTTCGATCAAAAAATCTAAACTGATATTTGAAATTTGTGAAAGAGTCGAATATTCTTACAATTTAAAACATCCACAATGATCGTACATAATTGAAATCGTAGTAGAAAGACTCGAATGATATTCTTTGAAAGAATCATAGAGATATTTCATACATAACTAGTTACCGCTATAGTATAGAGGTATGTATACTACTCAATTAGTGGTAGAGGATGGCTAGTGGCATATTGTTCTTGATTTGGTTTAGTTTGATAAGAGAGAGAGACGGAGACAAGACACCAATAATAAAAGCCAAACCCACTACAGGCAGAATCAAGACTGTTAATATACAATCACGGGGACCCTATAATCACGAGCCCTAAAGAACAAATCACGAGCTCCACTTAGAGCATCTTTTACTTTTCCCATATCTGGTACACTTATGTTCTCTCTCCTTTTTCTTCTTTGCCTTTTCATATTTGGTAAACTGTGACCCTAAGATATGTAACACTATACATGACGGGAACATTTGCAAAAATTCAACGTCGGTTTAATTATTTAGGCATAAATATTCACATTCAACTGTACACATCGGTTTCCCCATACCATCTTAATTAAGACATATCATGTCCATGATTTGGATTGATAATAGCGGAATGATAATATCGAATAATCGCTCTAGACGTTAGGTTTTTATCGAACGTCTAGCTACCGCTTAATGCTTTTTTGAACGATATCGTCATTCCACTATTGTAGTTTTTTGAACACAGGTTGAATCAAACAATAACTATGAATTAATAAAAATGAAGATAATGAATAGAAATTGATTATAACAAATAAGGATGTGCACTGAAATAAATTTTCACTAACCTTCAAAATAGGTGTAGATGTACATTACCTTGAATATATACTGAAAATTGTGAGATATGATTCTACAGAAATGACGCGAATAGCTAACAAAATATCATTTCATAATTTCACTGTCGTATATTGGATGTTCAAATATAAGCGTACGTATATCACATGGAATCATTATAGGCCACTTTTTTTTTTGTCAACTTGGCTTGTATCGAGTAACCATGATTTTGACGCATTCTGTAATTAAAAGAAAATTCACAGCGCTGATTTTGGAAAATCAGAGTTTACTAGGATTAGTTTTGAGAGGAGTTTTGGGGGATCTTTATTTCACTTTTAGAAAAGCAAAACCTTTGACGAAAACAACGTATCATATCGTGGATGGGTTTATTTTCTGCATGACACGTAAAATAGTTTGTTCCATGAGTGGGAGTCTCGTAATAAGTGACCTGACAAAGACTACTTCGCTTAAAGATTTGTATGATCATGACAAAATAAAAAGGAACACATTTTTAACCGTGTTATTGGGTAGCACTTTAAACTTCGAAAGAATTTCACTAGCACTATAAACCACAAAAATAATTTTACTTACACTTTAAACCTCCAAAGTAGTTTTTTTTCTGTTTGTCTCACCATAAAAAATGATGGAAAATTTAATTTCTATTTGTTTATTATACATTTATTTAATTTAATTTCAATTTAAATTGATTTTATTATTTATTACTATTAATAAAAATATAAAAAACTTTAATTTAAATTTAAATTAATTTTATTATTTATTACAGTTAATAATAATCTAAAAAATATATAAAAAAAATTTCACCTTCTTTGTTTACTCACCGTTCGATCATGAAATTTCGAAATTAAACCTCTGAAACATAAAAAGATTTAAGCACAAGAGAAGTATATAGTATAATAATATAAACCAAATAATATAGAATATGAAGTACAAGAGAAGCTTGAATAGAATAATAAAAACTAAAGAATGTCAAAAAAAATTATCGGAGGAATCTAAATTTTTTTTTTACGTTTCTTAATAATCGAAAAATCATAATAAATAATAAAATTAATTAAAATTAAAATTAAATTTATATTAAACCAACATAAATTAATTGTTCCATCATATTTTATGGCGGTACAAACATGAAAACTAGTTTGGAGGTTTAAAGTGTTAGTAAAATTATTTTGGTGGTTTATAATGTTAGTGGAAATCTCCCGAGGTTTAAAGTGCTACCTAGTGACACTTTGAGGGTTAAAAATGTGATTTTCCCATTTACTATTTAGTGGTTTTTATTGGCGTTTTTTTTTTCTTTTCTCTAACAGTTCCTTTTATTTTCGGTATAAACTAGTAGACTAGTGGTTTTGATTGAGGTAAATAGTTAATTCTAGATATATGGTTAGTGTGGATTTCACATGAAAGTAAATCTGTATTATATTTACCCAACCTTATTTTACTTCTCCATCGGTTCTATCAACCTACGAAGAAGATAAATAAGGCCAATATCCATGGGCTTGTCTCGTAAACCTTTTATTAACCAATATAAGCCCATTAGTGTTACATGGACTTGAGTTAGTCACCAAAGTCAAATTGAAGTTGTAAACAAGAATAACATTTAAATCCATAGCAAAATATATTTCAACAAGTTACAAGTTATATTGACAATTTCATATGTTCGCGTCGCCCATTCAAATAACGTGTGTCTAAAGAAAAGCTAGTCAAAATCCTCGTAAAGTTTGATCAAATGTCTATTTTTAAAAACTACAAGTGGCATATCGTTTTTGCCAACAAAAAAAAAAAAGTGACATATATCGTTGATACATATATGTTCTAGCATTTTACAAATTAGTTCATTCCTTAAAATGCTATACATGCATGGCGATCATGGATGCAAATGTCTAGTTAAAGAGATAATTTAAATACGATAGAATGAAGCATCCATCAACATTTTGTTAAAATCAAATTGTTTATGTTGGATGCAATGAAATGAACATTTACTAATTTCATAAAAAAAAAGTATCCGAATAAGTGGAATATATCTATACTTTTAATACCATTCACCTATATCCTCTTCATATATATTCCTTTATTGTTTCATGTAATTGCCTAGCCTCAGTGAGTTAGAACTTATGACTACCACCCAAAATTAATTTATGATTTCTAAACAGCAAAAACCCTGAACGAAAAAATAGTTCTGAAAGTGTGGTCACGTGGAAAAGCTGATATAGGTCACACTAATGGCTTTGCTGAGAAAACAATATAATTGAAGTCGGTGGGGTTCAGATCAATTATAGCAAAAATATTTAATGATGATGATTATTCACTACAGAGCTACTAGTAAAACTATGATTAGTCACCCACCACATGGACGTCATACCAAATCCTTTGTTTACAAAGTTTTCTAAAAAATCTTAAATTTTCAGATTGGCTCTAGTCTATAGACTTGTGCATTAGTTAATCATTCCGAGCATAATTTGGATCCTTTGAGCCAGTTTTGAATAAGAGAAAATTATAGTAATTATAGACTTTTACAAGAATAAATCCTATAAAGAAACGTAGCATCTATATATAAATGGAGAAACTGATACTCTTGGAAACAAAAAAAAATCAAAATAAATTTATTATTGTTATCTTCATAGTTATGTTTTGTATGGAGATGTGTAAACTATATTATATATCTTCGACTTAAAGCAAATAAATTATGATTTAACACAATCTATAATGATTGTGGCTACTCGGTTTGGTGTGGGTACTTATAAAATATATAATCATAAAACTTAAGAGTTAAGAGATAGATTAATTAGTCCAAAACGAATGTCTATCGTTACAAAATTGTCTGCATATGATAGAGTTTGCACTTGCACGAGCTATTTTTTCTTCCTCTCTTATTCTTTAAGGACGAACATTATTTTTCCTTTTTTTTTGTTCACACATTATTTATTCATGTTTTTACTCTACGTCCCTATCTCAAACCATATGCTACTATTTAGAGTTTATTAAAAAAAATTGTCCATAACCATAAATTGCGTAACAAAACATTATTCTAACGTTCCACGGATTTTCAGTTTGCCTTTCAGCTGTCAACTTTTTTTTTTTTTTTTGTCTTTATCCTGCTTTAATTACTTGAATTCGTCTCTACAACTACAACGTTCTTTTCTTTAACAAAAAGAAGAGAAAAAAAAAACTACAACGTTCAATTTCTGTAGTAATAATAGGCTTAAAAAGGCATTGGAAACACTTTTTTTTATAAAGGCAAGGGTAAAAGCAAAAGAGAGAAAAACACAATCTCCTCAAGAATTGCTAGAAATATAAATATAGAGATTAATTATAAAGTTATGATATGATTTCTTCATTCCCAAATTTCACGATAAATTTCTTAAGTATCTTACCTCATGTAAACTAAAATTAACTACAACTTCTTGTTACGTTTTTACCAAAAGAAAACTTCTTGTTGCGTTGAAAATTCTTAGATTAGGTAAGTGATGATGATGGTGGACAATTGATAGATTCGCTTTCTTATAACTTCAATAAATAAATAATACAACAGTGGAAGATTTAGAGATTTTTAAGTTTAATAATCACAATCATCTGAAAGATTCTTCCTTTTTAATTATTTTATTAAACTTTTGTATTCGATTTTGTCCCCCAATACATGAAAAAACAAAATGTTAAAAACTTCCGTCGGTTCAACATTATAAAATAAAGTCAAAATACGCCAAAAACAGTGATATCATTTACACGTGTCAAATCTGTATTAGTACACGTGTCAATGAGTGAAAAAAAAAAAACCACGAACGTTGAAACCTATCAATCCCGTAACCTGAAGAAACCTTCAGAGAGAAAATTTCCCCCAAAAAAAAAAAAAACCGGTAAGACAAGACATCGCACCATGTCCGTTATAGTTAACTTTGGTCCTACAGAGCCATCACAGAGTAGAAGAAGACTCAGATGAAGAAGAAGAAGAATAAAGATCAGAGATTTAGATTAAATCATCAGAGCATGCGAGACTTTAAGAAGCTTATCATCAATACCAACAATGGGTTTTAGTTTTTTGACTCGATTCTCAATCACGTGATTGCAAGTGTGAAACTTTCTCTTATTTTATCTCTCCGTCGTGTCTCTCGCTTGTTCTGAAACTCTCTCGTGACAGTGGTGGTTGGTCAATGGCGGTTGATGTGAAATCTGTGCTTGAGTTTCTCCGACGGAATGGTTTAACGGAGGCGGAATCTGCTCTGAGAGACGATATTAACGAGAAAAACAAACTCGCTTCTTTCGATTTCGAGAAGTTTCTGTTCCCGATTCCGCCGCCGATCAGAATCACGGCGAGTTCTCGTCCTTCTGATTCCGGTGGTGATGGGTCGAACTCGAAGTCTTCTTCCGACGACGAGTTTGTTAGCTTGGACTCTTCCACTTCTGGCTTCTGTTCTTCTTCCGGTAAGATAGAATGGAACTTGCTAAATATAGAAATCTTGATTTGATATTTCTGGTTCTTGATCTGATTTCAAGAAATCGAAAGCTCTCAAGATTGATTGATTGATTTGAATAGATTTTGCATAAATGCAGAGTTTGTGAATCCTTATGGAGATAATTCATCATCTGATGGACAGTCTCAATTTGGGACAGCTCGGACATATCCAGAGTGGAGCGAGTTTTACTTACACAATGAGACTGAAGATGAAGATGAGTTTATGTCTCCTGCATTTAGAGAATCTGATTTCTTTATTTTACCTGAAAATGCTCAGGATAAGTTCATCACAGATAACCAATTCGAGAACACGCTTGGTGTTTATGATAAATCATCATCTCAAGGGTCTCAAACCGAAGCGAGTCTCGATTACTTAGATAAGCCTTTTCTTCTTGGCAATGTGGAGGGTGAGGATGAGGATGACTCAAAAGATTACATTGGTCTTGATGATAAAACTGATGAGCTTGATCTCAAGACCGGTGATCAAGTGAATGTAACAGATGAAGAGGTTGATGTTGTTCATGAGGTTGAAGATGAATATGAAGTATTTAATCTTAGAATCATTCACTGGAAAAACAGGTATGATCATTTTCATTAGGTAAGTCTTTAAATATATGATCTTAGATAGAAAGAAAGATGAATTTGTAAGTTACAGGACGGGATTCGAAGAGAACAAGGATCTACCAATTGTGATAAACTCGGTGATTGGAGGAAGATACTACATTACGGAATACATTGGTTCTGCTGCGTTTAGCAAGGTGGTTCAGGCACAGGATCTACACAATGGGGTCGATGTTTGCCTCAAGATTATCAAGAACGACAAAGATTTCTTTGATCAGAGTTTAGACGAGATAAAGCTATTGAAACATGTCAATAAGCATGATCCTGCTGATGAACATCACATCCTGCGCCTCTACGATTACTTCTACCATCAGGTAAGAGATCTGAAAAGATATACATATCCGTTGCTCTCAGTGAAGTTTCTAATTCTTGAGTATATGTAACAACAGGAACATTTGTTTATTGTCTGTGAACTTCTCCGAGCAAACTTGTATGAATTCCAGAAATTCAATCAAGAATCAGGAGGAGAACCATACTTTAACTTAAGCAGACTTCAGGTTCGTTGTTTCCCTGACCCGAAAAAATGCCTAAAGACCGGCTTTTCTTTTCTCTCTGTTGATGTTTTTGCTTCCTCAGGTTATAACCCATCAGTGTTTGGATGCACTCGTGTTCCTTCATGGACTAGGAATCATACATTGTGATCTCAAACCTGAGAATATACTGATTAAGAGTTACAAAAGATGCACGGTAAAAATAATCGATCTTGGAAGCAGTTGTTTCCGCTCTGACAACTTGTGCTTGTATGTACAATCTCGTTCTTATAGAGCTCCTGAAGTGATTCTCGGGCTTCCATATGATGAAAAGATTGATTTGTGGTCTCTTGGGTGTATTTTAGCAGAGCTCTGCTCTGGTGAGGTACTTGTCTAGTTTCCATCAAAAAGTCTTATCTATATGCTTTATCCTACATACTGAAGAAACTAGTAACACAAATTTATCAATGTGTGCATCAGGTTCTGTTTCCAAATGAAGCAGTAGCGATGATATTGGCTCGGATTGTTGCGGTTTTAGGTCCTATAGAAACAGAGATGCTAGAGAAAGGTCAAGAGACACATAAATACTTCACTAAAGAGTATGATCTCTACCACTTAAACGAGGTAAAATTTCTTGATATAACAAAAAAAACTCAAAAAACTTATTGCTTGAATGTGACACATTGTTGTTTTTTTGTTATGATAGGAGAGTAATGAGATTGAATACATAATCACAGAAGAATCATGTTTGGAAGAACAATTACATGTTAGTGATGAATTGTTCTTAGATTTTGTAAGGAGTCTACTTGAGATCAATCCATTGAGACGTCCAACAGCTCTCGAGGCACTTAACCACCCTTGGCTCTCTTCTTCTTCTTACAATTGATTTTGTTTGTTCTTGTGTTGGTTGTTTAGTTTTGTCTTATTCATTGTTTCTCCAGTTTTTTTGGATCTTGTTTGTGATTTTTTTTAAAGTCACTGTAATTTGGTAATTGTGAGATTATGTGTATAGAACGGTTTACATTGATTTCACATTGTAAGTAAAAAGCTTGTGTGGTGCGGCATAATACATAGTTTCTCAGTTACCAGTTGTTCTAGATCAAAACTTTGGACTTACGACCATAATGTGGATACTCTGACGAGTGACGACCATATATGATCCATCATTATGGTACCTAATCTTTGTACCAAATAGTGTCACCTAGATTCCGATTGTTAAGTTAGTAACACCTAGCCTGATAAACTTATTTTAATTCTCTAACGATTCTACTCTGTTTTTATGTGTAATTTCGAAAACGTCGATGAGAGATCTGGACTAGAGGCCTCTCTAATAGCTGATGACGAATTTTTGATTAAAAAAGCTCTGTTTCTTGATGCCATGTCGTATAAATCCCTATATCATACATGTATATGCTCTATTTCTTATGTAACTTATAGTTCTTGTTATCTCAATACAAGTTATGTTTGTTCATTCTTGTCTTTAGGGAAAGTCTAAGAAGGTTGTTGAGACTGCAAGAACTTCAAACATCCAAGGTATTCATCTTCCGAAGGAACAAATTAAACATTTATTCTCATTACTCTCTAAAATATACGTGAAAACAAACTTTCTTGCCAACGATCTTCTTTTGTTCCAAGAACTCTTCCACAACGATCTTCTTTCTTCTACAATCTACAAACAAATCTCTTTCCCCATTCTCACTTGCAGTGACATCAATGAGTTAGATTTTGACCCTTTTGGCGTATTTCATATGCTTAGCCTCTCTGTTTAGGGTGAAACTGTTTCTTTTAATGGTTTTCTCAATTCTCTGAGATTATGAATCACCACAAAGATTCTCATGTTCTGAGTTACTTATCGTTTTGGTTCCACAATGTCATGTCATTTTCACAAAACAACCCCAAAACGTTTGGCTCAATAAGTATACCAAAAATTATATTTTGACATTTTGCTTCGGTGTTCGTTTGTTCCACATTGTATTTAGAAATCATATAACAATTACAATTAGCACATAATTTTGAATAATGTTTAAAAATAGATGATCGAAATAACACGTGATTTTAGTTTGAATTTTCAAATTTAAACTCCATATACCAGTAACCATAGCCCCCATGATTTTAGTGATTTCGCATCAACTGATAGTTCCTTAATCTCTGCCTTAATATCTGCTTGTAATTTTCTCAATTTTGGAAATTAAGTTACAACTTACAATTCATTTCTCATATATTCTTGTGAAGAACGTTTACTTTTGTTAGATCATGGGATTTGTGTTGAGTTAAAAAAAAAATGGTGACCTTCCCAAATCTCAACTCTGATGCTGGATTGAAGAAGCTGGACGAGTATCTTCTCACTCGTTATTACATTTCTAGGTTAAACCTTGCCCTTTCTGTCTCTTAAGTAATGCACATTATCAAATAGATTAGATTCTACTCAACCTTTACCTTTTGGAACAACCAGTTACAGATTTAATACGTTTAAAATGTTATACTTTTACAGTTACAAGGCAACAAAGGATGATATTATTGTCTACGGGGCTCTTTTAAAGCCTCCAACTTCACAGTATGTGAATGCTTGCCGTTGGTATAACCACATGGAGATCCTCTTGAGAAGAGGTATCTCGTAAGTTTCCTCCACTTTTCTTGTAAGTTTTTTTTTTTTTGTAGGGATTTAGTCTAAGTCGTGTCTTTATTTGCAGATTTAACTCTTCTGAAGGGAGTGGTGTCATTATTGATGGATCTTCTGCTGTTGATTCTAAGGTACTCTATTGTTTAGTGTTCCATGGAATCATATTTGGCTCTTAATCTCTTATGTAAGATTATACACAAGCTAGTGTCTAGTGAGATCATTTTCTTATATATGTTATTGCTTCCATCATATTGTAGGATGGTTTGGTTGTTGATGATGATGATGATAATCAAGATGTTGACATTATCAAGAAAGCTGCTGAAGAGAGGAGAGCAACTTCTTTGGAGACATCCACAAAGAAGGAAAGTAAGTTATGGTTTGGAACATTATTCTTGGTATAAATTCTCATCATTTGTCTTAAATGGTCAATAGATAAAATGGGTTTGTTTCTTCGAATTTTTCCTTTGGGCAGCTTGGAAGTCAACACTAATGGTTATCATACCACCTGATGATGAGATGGACATGGAGAAGCTAGAGAAAGATGTAAGATCTATTCAAATGGAAGGATTGGTTTGGGGACCATGTAAGTTTGGTTCATCTCTAACACCCTCATACATGTTTCTAAATATCGGACAGGTATACTAATAATATTTTGATTTCTCTCAGCAAAACTTTTCCCAGTTGGTTATGGAGTCAAGTTGTTGCGAATCATATTCATACATGAAGAGGACCTTTGTGATGACGACACCCTTGTCGATACACATATATATAACTGTGGGCGTGTCCGGAGCGTTGAAACTTGCAACTTGGAGGTTTGTCCGGCTAAAGATGATGGTGACTTACTCGAGGAGGAGATCGAAGAGGAAAAGAAAGCTTCCGGGAAATCAGGGCTAGTGGTTTTCAGGTATGGTGGTAAGACTGACATTCAAAAGGTAGAAGAACGTGTAAGATCCAAACAGAAGGAAGGAGTGTCTTGGGGAGCAAGTAAGTTTGGGTGGATCTCTTAGACCCTCAATATCTTTTTACAATGTGATATTCAAATATCTCTCTCTTTTTTTACAGCAAAACTTTTCAACGTTGGCTATGGATTTACATATTTCCAGACCATATTCACCATTGTTGACGACCGTGTGTCTCTTGACACCATTCGCCGAAAAGGGTTGCGTTTTATTCCCTTGAACAGAATATGTAAGTGTTCAAAATCCATTTTTAAACTCCTTTTGGATTACATGTTAATGCCAAAGATGTTTGTTTGGTATTGAATCTCGGCTTGAATCATAATGCAGAGGCTTGGAAAAACTCTCAAGTGGAAGGTGTTAGGGTAGTTTAATTTTCTGTTTACTGCTTTTTTCTTATGTAATGTGAAAATATATCTTATGTTATCTCTCATTGATTTTGATATTTTATCATCTCGTTGTTTCCCTTGTGAGTTTTGAATAAATACGGTTTTACTTCTACCAAATCTCATATATTTGATAGACAAACTAATTAAAGAGAAAGATATATAACAACAAAAGTTACTCCAAAGTATTTAGAAAATTTCAAGGTTTCTTTTAGGTTCAGTTCCACAAAACTTCCGAGACAATCAATTTGGACAAAACTACACGATACTCTAGCTAAGTCACAAGAAACAGAGTGAAACAGCAGCGGTAGCTTCTTATACACGCTTCCTTCGGAACACTAAGATGGAACTGTTCTTGTGGTAAACGCCACCAATCGTTTCGATAGAACCTGCAAAACTTTTTTCACTTAGAGGAAACTCCAAGTCCAAGCATTGCTGGTCCTGAATCTCCAAATCTCTTGATCAACTTTCCAAGTTCAGTTCAGCAATGGAACCATAAAAAGATGGCGTTCTCGCTTCAGGTGAGTGACGACTGATGAACGAAATCGCCTGAGATCTAAGCTTAAGTAGTTTCCTGTGAGTACAATTGTTGATGTTTGATTGTCAAGAAATAGCAATTCCGATTTTAGTGCTATTTTTATTTGTATACAAAACTTCTAGCATTAAAAAAAAAAAACAAAACTGATTCATATAATCAAATTGGTGCAACTAATCATGATGTATGTAGAGACAACAACTATAAATCTTGGTATCCTTAACCAACAAAATAAAACTATAATTGATTTCATGTTTATAAAAACCATAGATCCCTTTATTAATAAAACACGTTCTCTTTCACAAGAAAAGAAAAAACCCTAAAAGACTTACCAACAAAAACAAACCCTAAAAACACTCACACGCACATAAAACCCCTATGATGGATTCTTGAAGGCTGCGTTCAAGATCTTTGGACTCAGCATACCCTTTACAGGAATCCTAGTGGAATCAATAGCGAAGCAAATCTTCCGAGTCTCTTTGTGCCTAAACATCCAAATAGTGAGAAAATCAACATGCTTCTCGAGCTTATATTTCTTCACGAAATTCTTCCATCCAACACTTATCAAAACAGGTGTGTCCTTCTTCCACATCTTGAAAACCATCTCATGAATCTCTCCCTTTGGTCCATACACCGAGACCTTTTGCCCATGAATCCCAAGTTTCTCTGTTTTTCCAAGAACATCAACCATCATCTTTTTCACCTGCTCCTTCCCTAACATGAGCCTGCATTGATTTTCCTTCACGTCGCTACCCGTCAACTGCTTCCACATCGCTTCGCTGCAAGCTCCCATCGCATCTGGATCACGGACAAAGATCCTTCTCGGAGGATTTTTCGGCCTATTGGCCTCCCAATCGATCATGCGCAATAGGGTTTCTTTGGAATTGTCTACCTCCGCGACTTTTCTCTTCTTACCCTTATTTGCATATGTTTGGTTAGAAATTTTCACTTCCAACTCATCCTCACTTACGGATTCTTCTTCTTCTTCTTCTTCTTCTTGCTCAAAGGAAACAGGGTATTGTTGTAGTAGTAACAGTGCTAACGAAACCTCATCTTCGTCTGGAGTTACAGCCATCTCCTGAAGCTCTTCTTCGTTATAGGGTTTTACAAACAAAACTTTATCATATATATACTACAAATTATATCCTCCACATGCGTAATTCCTTTTCCGTTTTGTATTAGGAATTATGAAAAAAAAAAAAACTGTTTATTTTCAATGTATATCTCAATTATAAATTAACCCATATTTGTAAAATTCTGTAAATATCTCAATAATGAATTATTTCAAGAGTAAATTCCCTGTTTATGCTTACAGTTTTGAAAAATACCCTCTTTTTATTTTTCCCTTAAAAACTAATTTTTTATTATGTAAAATTACTAAAATGGCCAATTAAAACTTAATACTAATTAACAAAAATCTATATCTTAAATATAAAACCAATTTATTGATGATAAATAAATATTCAATTTTTACAAAACTATTATCTAACTAACGTTTCCAAAGATATTTATTATCTTAAATATTTTTCCAAAACAATAATGAATTTTCTATATGACAAAAACTATGTGGGGAAATTCTCAAACATTATTAAGATGTTTATTTTTATAATTGAAAACACATAAATACAAAAACAGAAGAAAACAGTATGAGTAGTTTACTTTGCAATTTTTTTTTTCTTTTGAGAAACGTTGATGTCGAAGAAGATGCAAACTTTGGTGATGGTGTTAGAACATTGAAGACTCTCTTTCTTTATATAATAACTTGACAAATATTAAACGATAAACTTTATAATATTTTAACATATAAAATCAACAAACTATCTTTATCTAAAAGAATATTAGAACTTTTATAATGATAATTAATATTATTTCGAATATATAAATTTGATTTACTAAAAATATTATTTATATTTAAATCTGGATAAAAATTGTCATATTATATATAAAATATATATTTTTTAAAAATAAAAAACGAAAAAGTGTATTTTTCAAACAATAAGTCATAGATAGGGTAGATTTAAAAAAAAAACCTTAATTCAATATGTAACAGCTTTGCAAATTGCAAGCATGGATAATCATCTTACAATAGATTTTACATATTGAGAAAAATATAGACTCTATAAATTACATTTTCTTCAATATGCATGGTAGGTAAATTCACTTCTGGAGATATCAGAGCAAAGATCAGTTTGATCTTTCAAGCTACATTATACAATACCTCAGAAGCTTTTTGAAATGGTGCAAATTCTTTCTCAGAGACACACATTTCTGTTAAGCCAAATCATTCGAAGATGAAACGCATAAGAAGCCGTACTGATTTCATTTTCTCTCCCTTTTTATCATACAATGGCACAGATCGAATCCCCGGTCTTAATTCTGCAACAGGCAAACATGTTTGTCCCCCAAAATCATCCTTCTCCGACATATCATACTCTCTTACTTCGATCCTAAGCAATGCAAGCTCTGGAACGGTTAATGGGAAACTAAATTCCTCATCCCAAATTGGATACCAATTGTCTTCGATTATTTTTGTCTTCTTTTTCGCGTTATCCGCTGGTACACCCACTATGAACATCTACAAAACTCACAAGTCCGCAATCTAATAAGGTTTTTGAGGAATTTTAAGATCCCCAATTTTGTGAAATTGATATTACCTTAGTGTAGAAATCAGGAGGAGAATATGCGTCAAAGTGAGTGTGACTGAAGTCCATACGCCATCCATCACCCATATACACTTTCACCTGTTGTAAGAACCGCGGCAAAAAGACAAGGCTGATAACACTTTGAAATGTTAAAATATCCTATAAGTATATATGGAAGTTGTTGTTGGCTTGCCTTTAACGTCTCTTTCACAGGGAGTTTCTTCCTAGGGTCAAAGACTTCGTCGTGAAACCCTTTCTTCATCAAGAAGTTAGGTTTCTTGACATATCCACAACCTCCATTGGCTCTAAACATGCCGTGCATCAACCACAGAGATTTCCCATATCCCTATACTCACCAAATCTTTCATTTGTTTATACAGAGATCTATCAAGTCTTTGTATATAAAGACTTTATCCATCACAAAAGGTAGCTTAAGAGTCAAGGTATCCATAGACCTTATAAAAATTAGTTTGTTACCTGCATGTTAAATGCAATCATTTGCGCTCCGTGAGTCCAACCGATAAGAGGTTTGTAGTTTGAGGAGTTAAATCTTGTCCCTTTAGGGTATATCCGAAGCAAATTCCGCTGTGTAAACCTAAAAAAAAACACAGAGATCAAGTTGCAAACCCGGGCCTATAACGGGTTAGGGTGGTATATAAATTAGTATTACCTTACAACATCCTGACTATTGGATGAACAAGTCCTGTCAAGTTCCTGCTCGCTTAAACTCAAACGTCTCACTTTATCCACCACAACTTTCATCTCTTCTTTCACTGTTCCCTTTGGTTTCCCTGCATGAATGGTGATCAACCGTTTGTATGCCGGTTTCTGATCTTCACTAGCCTCTTCATCCTCTTGATCACTATCACTCTAATTCAAAACTCAAAAACTAAATTATAAAAAAACAAACAATGTATGACCATTTTCATAAATTAAGTTCCTTTTTGTTACCTTGCTTTCAAAATCTTGGTCAAACAACATACTTTCTAGTGTCTGAATCTCCTCTGTTCTAGGTGTTTCGTCCTCTGACGATGGAGATACATTATTATCCTTTTGTTTAACAATCGGATTCCTCGATTCGAGATATTCTTTAGGCGGTTTGGTTGAGATGATTATCCGATGAAGCAATGAAGCAGGAGAAGGAAATTCCACTAAGCTATCTGATTCAGGGTAATACAACATCTGCCCAAATATCTGTGTAGCCATCTAAACAAAGAAGAAAAAAAACCCGAAAAAAAATTCAAACAACATCGAAATCAAACTGATTGATAACCACAAGATAGATATATAAAATGTTATACCTCAGCAACTTTGGCTTGAAGATCAGGTGTAAGATGATCTTCTAAAGTGATAATGACCGGATAAGGCGAACTAGAAAACGCGTAATCTCTTATCGATTTCAAGCATTTGATCAGCGGTACAGGCGTTGTAAGCGTTCTGAAGAATCAAGAAAACCGCGGTTTCTGAAAATGTTTTTGAATAAAGAGAAAGAACAAGAAGAATGAAAAAGGTTTTTTATATATATATACCTTCCGTGAAGGACATTGATATCTGTTCCAGTAGAGTTAGGCCAAAGATCGAGCTCGATGACTCGAACGCCTCTCTGCAAGGCTTTGATCACCGGGACTTCGCTACAATCGCTGCTTAGTTGATTACCCGTAAGATATGAATTGTGTCCTGTGTATATAAAGTAATGTGACAATGGAGCTGTCATATCTTGATGCACCTGTTTCAAAACACACAAGATTTAACATTTTCACAAAAAAAAGTTTCGATTTTTTTAGAATGTTTTTGAATGTTTTACGTGAGGCGTAATGGGAGGATTGAGATCCTCGTAAAAGAGGAAATTGAAGAAATCGTCGAGATCAAGTCCGTGGCGCGTGAAGCGCGTGACGTGGTGTCGCCGTCGTATAACCTCATCGATTAACCGTTGAGCCTCAGCGACGGTGGTTCCTGATTCACCTTGATGGTCATCAAGGAAAGAACAGAGCTGCTCTGCACCCATTACACCGGATGATCCGTCTCCGTCACTAGAATCTCCGTCTGTTCCGCCTCCACCTCCACCGCCGCCACCGACGGCGAATTGACAAAAAGCGTCACGGACGTCGTCGGTAGGTGTGACTTCGTTGATCTTGAATTTACGGTTGAAACATTTGAACATTTTGTAATTGTAACTACCGCTATCGTTATTATACGACTCTGTTTTCTTCTCCTTCCCCATTGTTTTTTAAATCTAGGGTTTGATTCTTCGAATCCAGGAAAATGTTTTTCTTCTTCGAAAATTCGAAGAACTGAGAGATTTGGGGATTGAGAAGATTTTGAGGAGAAAGAGGAGAGTTTCCTATTATAGAGGAGGCTTTGAAGCGGGATCGTTTGTCTTTTTATGTTTTTCTTATTCTTTTTGAATAATTTATTCCTACCTTTTCGTTTTTTTTCTTTCTTTCTAAAATCAATTTCTTTTGTTTTATTACTGATCCTTCTTCGTGAAGAAAAAAAAAGATATGTTGAAATTACTAATAAGAGAAATTCTTAATTTTAGTCTCGTTTCTTTAATTTAGTAAAGATCGTTTCTTTTATACATTTTTTCAGGTGGGAAATTTTGTATTAGTCTAAGAATAAGATTACTTGCATGATATATAGATCATGTTTTATGATCATCTGCCGTTTTAGTTTGATTATATTTTATTTAATTCGTCAATAAATGAAATCATGCATAGTTCGTTTCTATCACGTCGACTTTGAATCTGAATTATTAACCTTTTTTTTTTTCTAGTTTCATAAAAAATGGTCGATTGGTCTTGCAATGATTTTTTTTTGTTTAAGATTAGTTTTTATGATTTTGTGATGGTTGTTTCAGAATGTGCAATGCATGTAGGAGATCAATCTTTCAACATTTTAGACTATGAGTCAATGACGATTCAGGTTATCTCGCCGAATTTAGTCTTCTTCTTTTTTTGGGGTAAATTTAGTTTTGTCAACATTTCATTTGGGGATCTATGCAAAAGTATGATATGTAATTACACTGTGTGAAACTGATAAACAATGTAAAGAGACTCAACTCCGTTATGTGACTGAAGCGCCAACTTAAACAAGTGAGAGGAACACAAAAGCACAAGATGAATCTTCATTCTTCAAGAGTATCTGTTTGTTTTTCATTAAACTTGTGTTTACATGTTGGCTTTATGAGGTTGGGATGTTCTTGAACTGTGTCCTCCATGTAACTTGATAGTCCCTGAGGTGTAGACACGGAAGCCATTTCTGGAGGAAACAAGTTTGATGCCTTTGTGTATATTGGATTTGGAAAAAGTGTGATAGCATTTGTGATAGTGCTTAGGAACATGTATTGGTTTGACGAAACATGCTTTTTCGAGTTGCGGAATTGCGTGAAGATGAGAAGGAAGATGGATGACAAATTCTCCAAAGTCATTAGTAACACCTTTTATCCATTTTGATCTCTTTTGGAATCCAGTGTGACACTTAATGGCAACAGTTGCACCTATAATATCATGTAAAAAAAGTCAGATGATGTTTTCATTTTGTAAACAAAAGGCATAAGACTTAGACGTAGTGTTAAGGTTCTTGAGCTTCCAACTCAAAACCATCTAACTTTTGATGTGGAATCCACAGAGAATACCTGAAACAGGGGTGTTGCATAGAAGAGACCCGGTGATAACTACGGATGAGAGTTTGTGTTCCCCGTAGCCAGCCATATCCGACATCTCCCTTATGCTCCATAACTTGCTAGAAGCTGTGAATGCTCCGTTGAAGAAGAAGAAGGAGAGTAACAAGAAGCAACGGAGGATAAAGAAGCTCTCCATATCTCAATATATGTCACTTTAATTTTCTTTAAGAATGATGTGTGTGTGAAGAGGATGGATTTAAGGAGAGCAAATAGTCAACTTGTCCAACTCCATTCGCCTATTATTTGTTTTAATCTCAATGTGTTATCTCAGCTAACTACACTTTGGGGAAAAGTGTAGTAGTTAGCAGGAAATGAAGAAACTAGCCTACCATCACAGAGAAACTGATCAACTGACTTTTGTGGGTTTGGTCAGTAAGCACTAAGCCACCATTGGATAAAAGGATTTGTTGACCAAAACCACATTTTCTCAACACCTTTAATGGGCCTCCAAATCTGAGCATCTGACATCTTTAAGGCCATTAACTTTTCAAGTGGACAACCTGAAACAGAGAAGGTCATCTGACTGGTCTCTGCAGCTTGATGGTTGTCTTTTCAAGTCTTTTCGTTGACTGATGATAAAAGGCAAAGAAATAGAGTCAAATATGTCTCATTGAAGCTCCGACTTGTCTCCCCTAATTATTTTGTCAATAGATTGCTAACAATCAAACTCTTTAGACGTTTTGTTCTTGTCTTTTGTTAACTTATTGAATTGTGTATTTGTGTGTAATGTATTAGCTCCAAAGCCCCTTGGCTCATCTTTTTGTTTAGTAAAACACAAATACAAAACTTAGAGGATGTTTATAACATTTGTTATTGTAATATGAAAGAAAACCATTATACAGAATCAGACTTTATTTACTGAGAGATAATAAGTCAAGAGAAGAAAGAGTATTGGTTAGTCTTATTACAACAAATTGGAATTGGAGGTTCAATAATTTACATTTACAGGAAATGGTCAAATCAGAGAGAGATGATTCAAGCATCATCTGCATCACTTCCACCTATATGCCTTCCATGACTACTCACCCAATAGTTGCTCCCATCAGGACCCGATATCTTAAATCTGCGACAACAATTTGAAAATCAAACCTGGTGTTCTTCAAACTTAATTCCTGATATGTTGGAAATATAACCTTTCAAGAACAGATTTTCCTTCCTTGTACTTCTGATTCTTCTCATGAGCAGTCTCCTGGTAAAAGAATAACACACAAACTTAATGTTACAACCACCCGAAGAATCGAACACCGATAGGTTCTTTTACAACATTCGATGTCTTGCTTACGTATTTCCAGCCAACGATTGATCCACATGAGACACAGAAAATGTCAGCCACAGTATGTTTTCCAGTCATCATCAATCTTTCTTCAGTCTCTCCAATTGAAACATTGGCACTAAACCAGATCAATCATCAACAGAAAATCATTGGATGATCATCATCATCATGAATCATGAGGTGCCTTAGAATTAAGAAACACTTACACCTTATTGAAGAGATAAGCCTTCCCATGCTTGCAGTGAAAAGACTGAACAAGAAACATTAAAACACAACAAACTACAGTGTTAGCTCAAGAAACAACAAATGCAGAATCAGGGAATGCTCATTAGCTTCAACTCTCTGTTATTCTCAAGATACATAAAGAGAATCCATCTTAGACCACAGAGAGAATCAAAAAGACAAAAACTGTTGTCAGATGATTGCTTTGCTTCTGTCTGATCAGCTAAAGGGGAGCTCAAAACTGTGATATAAATTAAACAACCAATGAAATCATTATCTGCTTAATGGAAAGTGGGCAGAAACAAGTACTGAACCATAACTTCAACAATGTAGTAACTCAAATTGAAAATATCTGAAAGTAATCTAAGAGTTAAATTTACAATCTCTTATAGTATACATAGCATGATCTCACTCGCAGCAGAAGAGAAGACACAACAAAAGTATTTCTCGTAACTAAAGCTTATCAACACACAACCACATCTCTTCTAGAGAATCATCTATCATTATATATTCTCTCAAATTTGAGGAACAACAACAACAAAAACAGATTAATCACAAACCCCCATAAGAATAATCTCCAGAAAAGTCAAGAATTGAGAAAAGAGACAAAACCTTGGAGATGATGTCTTCATAAGTAGCAAGATGAGTCTTACAGTGTTTGCAGCTATAGATCTTCCCTTCAAGATTCACCACAAACAGCCTCCCCATCTTGAATCAAATCAAGAACACAAAAATCTGCTGTGAACAGAGTTTTCGATCTTAACAAGAAAAACGAAACAAAAAATACGAGGACAGAACAATTCAGACTCTTTCTCTGTAGACACGAATCAAAACTTTATTGGGTCGAATTTGTTGTTGTTCTGCAGTTAAGCAAGAAAATGTGGATGGGGAAGGTATAACGTCTTTTCTCAATTATTCACTTTTTTTTTTTCTTCTTCAGCCATAAAAGTGGAACAACGTGTACTCTTCACCAATTGCATTTTCTATATTCATGTATATTTTATTGCTTTCTTACACTTTCTTTATTCCTTTGTCTATTCATTTTAAGATTTTCTTGAAATTGTATTTTTCTTTCATTACTAAAAAATGTACATGTACATGTAAAAGCAACAACTAATATGTACATGTATTATGAGATCAGATAACTGAATTTTTAGTTATTAGAAGTAACTATGTTTTCTTACTCAAGGCTCAAACTAACAATAGTATTCTCCCTTCTATTATTTAATAATCAAGAAAAAAATCATATCTTTAATCTTCGTTTTGGTTCCAGTATCTTATCTTGTCTTTATCGAAAAGAATATATTTTGTATTGTCTGAAGGATGATACGACAGAAGGATTTGTTTATTAGAAAAAAAATCAATACAAGCCATTAATTGGATGGTCAAGTAAATCGAATTTCGATATGATAATCTTTTTTTAAAAATGTGAATATTCACGGTATATGATATCGTATAGAGAATAAACAATAAGTGCTTAATTATTTAATTCCGTATAAGCCACTAGCTGCCTCTAGCCCAACAAAGTTGCTCTCAAAAGTTACACCATTGGTCTCTTTGTGGGTTCAATCAAAATGATGCATATGCTATGTTGTGACTTCATTAGATTTTGCTTTCTATGCAAATAATTATACATATGTTAATGGGATCAACATGTAAAGATACAATTGGTTTTACCTTCACACTCCAAAGTCCAAACAAAAGCATTGGACGATGGATTACTAATAACGTGAAATGCAACTGTACTATCACATCAAAAAGTGTTAGAGAACAATATGTGATTGTAAATTTTGCAGCATAACTACCCAACCAAACTGCTTTACACACAATTTAAAATCAACATTTAGAGGTTTTGAACGATTGATATGATAACAAAAACACTACCAAACAATAAACGACTTCTTTATGATAAACATGCATTATAGAGTTTTTAACGTATAATTTTTTATTTTGAAAAAAGTAAAAGTAGAAAGGTTCATTAACTAATTGTTAAAGGTGGCGAGGAAGCTGATAGGGCCTTTGCCGGTAAAGGCCGCCTGAAGAGCAAAGATGAGAAATGCAACCATAGCGAGACGAGAGTGCTTTATCTCAGCCAGCTTCAAGGTATCCAACTTCTCTGGATCAGCCGCGAGTCCCAACGGGTCAAAATACCCACCCGGGTAAATCCGTTTCTCTGGATCCAGTTCAGAGTTACGTTGGAACTCGATGTATCCGACCACTAACACTTCTATCCATATCAATGTCGTCAACGAGAACGGCAATGGCTGTCCCAAATACGACGAACCTTCTACCAATTCCACCTAGGCGAACCAAACCGAAATGCATAAATTCAAAACCGAATTCAGTTTTATAATAACTCGAATAGCAAAGCAATTTTATACTACCTAATAAACCAAACTAAACTCAATTTTTATGAATCCAACCGAATAAACAAAAATTCATTGAAAAAATTATACTTTCAGTTAAAATGCATTGAAATTTCTATACTAAAAACATATAATACTAACTAAAATCAATTTTTATTTTACTCATATTTTGTTAAATCCAAAAATAAAAAGTACTTAAGAGAATGGAAAATTTTCAAACTGAAATAAAATTCGGTTTTCCCAAGTTCGAAATACACGACTCCAAATAATCCGAACAAAACTCAAAAACCAAAAGCCTTATTTCCATTTAGTGATTAATAATCTGCATGCATGATGCATGTTTAGAGATTACAGAGTTGTATATTTATATTTTAGCCTAATTTCCACCTATACCTTATTTTAATTTTTTTTCTTTTATTTAACAAATCCTAATTTATTAGTTTCGACTAATGACGATTGTCCACGTGGAAAATTACGTTAGTGACGACTATATGAGTGTACCTTCCCGGCGTCTTGCCATGCGACTCCTGTGAGAGCTTCAACGGCGATAGCACCAAGAGTGCCAAGCATGGCCCACCTTCCATGGATCAACTCACACTCTCTGAACCTTTGGATCCCAAAGACTTCAGTGTACGGCTGAAACGGCGTGGGTTTGATCTCAGACGAGTCTTGGATGATCCCGATGACGTCACCCGCCACGTTCTTGGCAAGGTTTTGGTCAAGACCGTCGAAATCGTACTGAAGATACTCTGCCGGTTTACCTAAACCGAACGGATCAAATCCACGGTCACCGATCATCGATCCGTCCAACCATTCCGGCGGGTTTGCGCCAGGGAACCAAACTAGTCTGTCTCCATCGTCTTGGACCTGCCTTGATTTCTTTGGTGGTGGAGCCGGTTTCTTTTTTCCGAAACTGAACCCGAACCGGGCTTGGACCCTACCGGTTCCGGGTCTAGGATCTTGAATCCGGATCCCAAAGATACCTGAGGCTGCTGCTGCAGTGGTGGTAGCCATATTGAGTTGGTGTGATACTGCTTAGAGACTGATGATTCCAATGTTTATAACATATAGGTTTTTTAGAATAATAGTAACGTTGGGTTATATGTGATGGTAAATGTAAGAAGCCTTATCTTAGCGTTATCTCATGTGATTGGTCTCTCTCTTTACCTTTTTTCTTTTGTGGTCTTGCTACTTTCTAATGACGTTGCACTCTCTCTTTCGTCCTTATGGTAGGTGTCTGCATTTAAGGTATTTTCTTGGTTTTGTTTTCTTTCGTTTTTAAGGATTTCTTTTGTCGATTTCACAAAAGAGAAAAGATTTTGGTCCCATTTGAAGTTCTGTCCCCCTAAAGCCCATTTATAGAAGCCCATTAATCTACTATTTGTTCTATACATACTTGGTTAAGGGGCATTTAGAAGTTTTGGTATGCATTTATGTAGAGGTATAGAAACTTTGGCTTTGGTTTATTTAGGTCAATACTTTGGTTTTGGTTTGCTTTTCTTTATCATATGGAATATCTCTGTGAATTGTATGAAAATGGAAGTAAGCAAAAACCTTAACATATCTTGAAAATCATTCGAATTAAGATATTGATCTATATGATAAACTAAACATAAACCAAAATCAAAGTATAATTAATTGACCTAACTAAACCAACGGAGAAGTTCTATACCAAACTAAATGTTGGACTAGGGTACTAGACCATATTGAAAACACGATTTAAGGGGAATTAGGAGTTTCGGTATGCATCTATGTAGGAGTTCTAGACACGATTTAATGTATGATATCTCCCTGTAGAAACTAGAAGCTATATCCCAATACTCCCTATACTTGGTAAGGTTTGTTTTAGACATCGCCACCGTCTAAAGTTACAAACGCGATAAGATAGAGAAAGTTAGAGTTTGCCATAGAAAAAATAGAAATACGATAAGATAAAAAAAAAAAAAAAATTCAGTGAACTTGAGAGGACTTGAAGTTTCATACAATTCACAAAGACTGTCTAAATCGATTATTAAATTGATTGAGATATGTTTGATTAATGCAAATATCTAAAATGTAAATTAAGATAATGATCGTAAAAAGGTTGCTTTACGATTCTTTTAGAAATTTTGGTGACGTATAAAGACATTCACGCGGACATATCACATACAGCATACTATGTGCTTATGCTTACAATCACAAACATATATTAAAACCAAAACAAAGACAAACATAAACATATATACAAAATGGAGAGACAAAACAAAAGATGCCTTGGGCTTCTTTTCTCATTAATGAACTCTGGATTATTCACAAATCGCCCTAACTAATCTAATGTTAAAGCTAACAACTGCCAATTCATCTGAGTTGTCTCATTTATAAAAGCATAGGTTATATAATTAATCTTCATTCCTTATCTATTCCTTTCGCTTTGGATCCTTCTGTTAACAAACAATAAGACAAATTAACAAACATTATCAGCAAAACTGCAAAAGGGCTCTCAATTTGATAACGTCCAATATCACTTCCCAATTAATAATACTAACAAATACTAAACACTATTATAGAAATCATTTTTATTCAGGAAAAGAATAATAATAATAATATATATTACGTAAGCAAGAAAACTAGAAGAGGATGAGATTAGGTTGGTTACCTGAAACTTAAAAGCGAAGGAGTTGATGGGTCAACACCGAAAGGCAGAAGAAGAAGCTACATTTATACGTCGTATTTTTATATTTACATGTTGAGAGGTATGTGTCATTTGTGTGTATACATATTTACAAGTATTGATTCTCTTGAAAATACGTCTCTATTTGAGTCTCTCTTGTTGTAGAATCTTTTGGTATCTCGGGTACACGTTTTTACAAGCCGAAACCTGAAAATGGATCAATCACAACACATAAACCCTATTAGTTTTCCCATTGGATAATAATAACTATTACGAAACAGAGGATTGATAGATTTGTCTCTATGAGAGCAAATCATGAAGCATGCATGCGTGAGGTGTGACGTGTCATGTCGGATTATATTATTATAGGTTAGATGCCACACGGTTTCCACATGAGATTCTAACCTATAAAAACTATAAGAAAGTCTATAATTCAATTTCAATTTTGTTTTCTCTTAGTTTCATTCCAAAACCTTCTAGCCAGATTAATAGAGTCTTTCCTAACCAAACAAGTTGGAAAGACAAATCTCATTGAGTTTCTAGAATCCCAAAAGGACCAAATGTGTAAAAATGTGTTTAATATTCAACATTGACTAATACATTCACATGCTATCTCTGACTCTGACCCAGTCTGATTACGATATCTTAGTGTGCACAGTGCAGATAAAAAATCTAATTCATCCTAGACTTGAAAAAAATAAATGCAACTTGGTATTATTATTGGCCCTATCTTTCAACGTTATTCAATCAAAATCGAATTTTAATAAAAAATAATAAATCTCTGTAACGTCGAAAAGAACGAAGAAGCAGAAATGGACTTACGGCTTCAATGTCGATTTTGAAGACGAGAAGCTTTTTTCTTTCTCTACAACTTGTTCGATACGCCACAATGATGTGACCTATGGCTAAGACTGACGAGCAGAGGAACAGAGCCACTTCCGCCGCTCTGAAGTAGTTTCCTCCGCCGTCTCCGATCGCTGGCTCGCCGAACACAAACGCAGCTTTTAACGAAACGTAGCCTAGAGACGAAACTGAGCAAATCATTGTTATTGTCAGATACGGTCCTTTAGATAATTTTGGTCCATCACAGAGTCCATAAACACCTGTTGACACGAAAATCAAACTTTAAAAATGAGTTTTTGATTTCTTCAGAAACAGATTTGCTCTGTTTTTTTTTGTTTGTAAAGTTTGAATTTTTTTTTTTTTACTCACAGAGTATAACAGCGGATCTAATGATTGAGATTAAAGGAATATCAATGAGGGAGTGACGGAAATCGTAGTTGGTGAGATGAGAAGAGAGATTCGCCGGCGAAGAGAAGCGGTGGAGGAGAGCGGAAGGGAGGAGAGCATCGGCGACGGCGAGGAAGATCGGAGCAGAGACAAGAAGAAAAGAGAGGAACATTGTGAACAAAACGAATACAGTTTTGATACCTCTCCATAGAGATGACGAAAGCTTTCTGGTTTTACTAATCTCTTCTTTGCTAAAACCCATCAAACCAGATCGTAGAAACAGAGAGGATTTGTTTGAAGTGTGGATTTGTTGAAGAGAGACAGAGATTTTAGTTTAGAGAGGGTTTTTAAATGGTGGACGAGACAAAGTGACGATGACGACGATGATGATGCTAAGATAAATACTAAGGGATTAATTTATACAATAAATGATTTTTCCTCGTTGAACTTGGAATATTTAAATGAAAATAGAAGTTTTGGATTGGTTTGGTAATTTGTATCTTTCTGTATATTTTTTACCCCCTGGATTTCTATATGTATAATCATAATTGTATTAAATTTGATTCTTTCTATAAAAATCTTTTGAATATCTTTTTTTCTATAAATGTTTTGGTTAGTTGATTTTTTTTGTATATAAATCCTATTTTATTAATTTTTAAAAGATTGCGAGTCGAGCTAAAGATGTTGTTGATCCATCGTAGTATTTTTCATAGATAATTATTAATTACTATAGTGTTAAAACATATAAGAATGATATTTAAGTACTATATAACTATCTGGATAAATATGATTTGTATGTGTGTCTTAGCTCAATTGATAATTAATTTTAATATATACTAGAAGGTCGAGAAGGCAAAATGAAATGTTGACTATTGATGCCGATCCAATCTACAGTATATATTATGAAATTACATCCTCATACTTGAAATTTTGATGAATATAGGATTTATGGGGTAGTTTGTTATTTTTCTCCTTTCCATTTATAAATTTCAGCTTTTTGTATATACAGTATGCTGGGTGACATTATATTTCAGAAATTATCAAATCAGGACGCGATACGTGGAAACATCACAAGCAAACTCTTTTCTTAAATATTGTCTAAGTAAATTGCCTTCTAAAAGCTTTTGCATATCAATGATATTAAGTCTCGATTGTGGTTTCTAGTAATCAAAGTTTTTAGTAATCTCCCCGTATCCGAACCTCATAAATGCCCCGTTACGCTTTGACAGAAAACACATTCTCTAACCTCCCGAAACTAAGGATACATAGGGCCGGTCCGGAGCATAAGACATCGTTTAATGCCTTACATCGTTAAACACTATTTTCTGATAGAATTTTTTTGTAAAAAAGTGTTACATTAATACATAATCATAACCATCAAAGAAAATTTAGAAATTTTGGACCAGCACTCATACATATAATGTCAATCATAATCACAAAAAAATTAGTTCATACTTCATACCATGATTTATTGAGCCGATATATATATTTTGATTTTTTTACTTGTATCATTTTCTTAATAGAAACTTTGTAAGATGTTTTTATCTCTCTGTTTTTACACTAAACTAAATTAAAATTTAGCCAACTGAAATCTCTGATAACTGAAAAATCCTAAATAATGGGAAACTGAAACATTCTAGAAAAAATGTTGAGAGAAACTTCCTGGTCTTTGAGTCCTTTGACTGGTGTATCATTTAGAGCTGACTATGACTTATATTAAATTAAAACAAAATAGTGTTCGGAGTCTTCAGATTTCAGCCTCCGTGTAATAACGGTAAAACCTAAATAACGTGAAGCATAAACAAATCTCAATAATTGGAACATTTTTCTTTCTTTCTTGATTTCATTTGTAAAATGGAGTCGAATATTTAAAAATCATCACAATATATGTTTATCGTTTTATTAAATAGTTACTAGTAAAATAATGTTAGACCCATCCTCTCCCGCCGAAGAAAATGAACCGAGACTCGTTTATTTCGTTTACGGGAATGGAGGAACCGACCGATTTCAGCCATGTGACCACATGCATGCCGTTTGTTACCCTAAGTTATATCTTACGGCTTTATTTTCTATTTTATTTTGTTTCATTGTACATGTGATAAAAAGAAACAATGAACTATCGAAAATCCAAAATATTTTTAATAATTATATTTTGTGTTTGATTGTGATCTTTCAATGTTTTCTCGTCTAATGCTACCAAATCTAACGATAGGAAATGTGTTTTTTCTTATCAAACTTTTTAAAACATTCGATAGGAAATTACTTGTATGTTATAAAGAAAGCATTGCCAAATTATTACACAAACAAACTAAAGAAAAGTCGTAGAAAACTCTTTGGACGCGTATATCTTTGCGTGAGTGTATATACTAGTCAATTTTATTGATGATAAATTTACAATTCGTATCGCAATTGGAATGATGTATATATTGACTATCAAGCAAAACGTTAGGAAATTTCGGAAATTAGGATATGTTCTAAAAGATTTTTTCCAAACTTAGTTCGTTTTTGTTGCTGAACATTCTAAATCAGAGTTAGTGACAGATTATTCTTACCTGGAATATATAATTACCAAATTGTGTCACCAAACTCCGATGATGAGAATAATTAACCAAACAACAAATATGTGTCTATTTGTTTGTTTTGTTTCTTGTGTAGCAACGGTCAGATTTGCATATCAATAACTAGAGTAGGACCATCAAAATAAAGAGGGAGAAGCTGAAAGTCAAGAGTTTATAGGCCTACGAAACTGACCGGAAGTTGAAGAAACTTGTCAAGGTCAAGACACATCATCTCACCAAAAACATGCACTCGACGCTTATAAAGCTTTCTCCATTTATTATACTCCACCAAATTAGTGGCACAATTAGAAACCTAAAACCTCACAGAAAAACGTTTATAAAAAACAAGAAAAAATACAATTGTTTCAAACTGTTTTCTCCATTTTTAATATAAACAGTTCTAAACTTCTAGTTATATATTACATTTGTCAAAAATTAAATAAATTTGATATTACATTGTTGCTTAGAATTGTTTATATTAGAAAATATTGAGGATATAATTAGAAATTTTATATCAAAATAACTAGAAAAGAGAGAATATTTTACCAAAATACATTAATCTCCATTTTTTCACATTCATTTCTAATTAGACATTCCATTTTTTTTTGTTAAAATATGTGATATTAGACAGCTGTACTATATAACTAGAAATGTATAAATATAAAATAAACAAATTCACAAAATTTTCTTCATTTTCATGTTATAAACTGTTTATACAGTACTAAAACAATTGTTAAAACCACACCAAAATCATAATTTGTAATTTTAGCCTAAGTCTATGAATTCATAATTTGTAAATACACTCGTAATTTTTTAAGCATAAACCAACTACAGACCCATTAAAAGCCCACTAAGTAAGGCCCAAATCACACAAAATCCGAATCCGAACAAAATTGACGCAAATTTAGCGTTTGTCGGAATAATAACTCATTTGTTTTCGCTCGCTCGCTTCTATTTCTCTTCCCTCCTCCGATCTGCTGGGCGCGTGCGTTCATTACGTGCTTCCTCAATGGCGGCACGATCCCTTTGGAGAACCCGTACGAAGCTCCTCGTTGTCGGTACCTCCTTATGCGCTGGTTCCGGCGCCGCCTTCATTGCTTCCTCCGATGACCCATCAACCACCCTCAAGCTTTGCACCTCCATACCCGTCCGCCTCTACCGCAATACCGTTACCGCCGCCTCTATCGCTTTCGGTACGGAAACAAAAACCTTTAAAGGATTATACTTTACATGATTTTTTCGCTCCAATGCCTAAATATCACTTTTTTCAATTGATTTTGTTCTGTGCTCTGATTAATTTTGTGATTAATGAGATTGGCTCTGCACTAATCGTATTGGAAAGCTTTAAGCTTGTGGAACCAAACATTAATTACGTTTTGTCTTGATTTATATAACTACCTAAGAAGTAATGTTGTATTTTGGGGTTTGTGTTGTGTTAGATTATGAATACTCATTGTTGGGTTTGGCTGAGGGAAGCAGTGAGAGGGCTAAGGTCAAACATGAAGTCCACCTAAGGTCAGCTCAAAAGCTTCAAGAGCTTTGTTTCAAAAATGGAGGAATCTATATCAAACTCGGCCAACATATAGGACAACTTGTATGTAAAAGCTTTTCTTCTCTCTGTTCCATTGAATGTCTCAAGTTATTATAATGATTATGTTATGTTAAGAAAACCAACGGGTTTCCGGTTTTCTTGTTTCAAGGAATATCTTGTGCCTGAAGAGTATGTTCGTACTATGAGGGAGTCTATGTTGAACAAATGCCCTGTTTCTTCGTATGAGCAAGTATGTGAGGTTTTCAAGAAGGAGGTTGGAGAGATGCCAGACAAAGTATGTGCTATTTTACATACCTAGCTTCATGTATATAACCAGAGTTTTAAACGCTTTAGTTATGACTGCATCTCTCTTGACGTCTCAATGTGGCTACTGTATTTGATCTGCAGGTATTTGCTGAATTTGACCCTGTTCCAATTGCAAGTGCTTCCCTTGCTCAAGTTCATGTTGCTCGCACCCATGATGGAAAAAAAGTTGCTGTCAAGGTACTTTTTTTACTTTTACTTTATATGATGCGGAAAGAGAAGTTGTTTTGCAAATCCGTAATTCAAGATTATGGACTTGTATTTATTCTGTTAGTTTCTTGAATCTTTTTCTGTAGGTTCAACATGCGCACATGACAGACACTGCTGCTGCGGACACTGCAGCTGTGGGAGTTTTAGTGAATACCTTGCACAGGATATTCCCATCATTTGACTATAGGTGCAGCCACTTTCTCATTTTCTGTAGACAATTCATATAGTGTGAGCCTCTTGCTATTAGCTTATACTGGCTCATGTATGCAGGTGGTTGCTAGACGAAATGAGTGAAAGCTTACCAAAGGTTGGTGTCTTAAGTTGATTCATAAGTCATAACATATGTAGATTTCCTTCATACGTTTATAGAGTCTTGTATATGTTAATCTGAATATTATATTCATCTTTCGGCTAACGGCTTGCATCTTTTTCCAATAATATCTGAGGACTTTCATTATCAACCAATGTATTTGTTTCACCGTCCTTCAATGGTGTCTGTTCTGAAGCATTTTTGTATGGTCGTCATTGAGTTTATGCTGCCACTGGTTTGATATTTTAATTGTTCTTCTTTTATTAATGGAATTTTCATCAGGAACTAGATTTTTTGGTTGAGGCGAAAAACAATGAGAAATGTCTGGATAATTTTAGGAAGCTGTCTCCCCATATTGCAGAGTATGTTTATGCGCCAACAATCTATTGGAATTTGAGTACCTCTAAGTTGTTGACAATGGAGTTCATGGATGGTGCTCAAGTGAACGATGTTGCTAAGATCAGAAAGCTTGGGATTCAGCCCTATGAAGTATCAAAGCTTGTAAGCTCTTTCATCTTTGATCCTTAAGATATCATGCATTTCTTGAATTCAGTTAAATAGCACACAATTGAAAAGAAAATAGTAATTGCCGGTTAAAAGTTTGGTCATTTCAAATTCTCAACTCTATGATAGACTACTATGAAGAATCAATCTTTGATATGCTTTAAACTCTTTTTTTGCAGGTGAGTCAAACTTTTGCAGAAATGATGTTTAAACATGGGTTTGTGCACTGTGACCCACATGCTGCCAATTTGATTATTCGTCCAGATCCTTCTGGTAAAAGGAACATATATGGCAAGAAAAAACCGCAATTAGTGATTCTTGACCATGGCTTGTACAAGGAGCTTGACTTCAACACAAGATTCCACTATGCTTCACTATGGAAAGCGTTGGTCTTTTCGGATGCTAAAGCCATTAAAGAACACAGCGCGAAATTAGGCGCTGGAGATGATCTATACGTGCTATTCGCTGGGATTCTTACAATGAGACCATGGAAGCAAGTCATTGACACATCTGTGGATCATTTAGTCATCCAAGGCAGCAAGGAAGACGTATCAGAGCTACAGATGTACGCATCACAGTACTTCTCCGAAATCTCAGAGCTTCTCAGGAGATTGCCACGCGTAATCCTTCTGATGCTGAAAACAAACGACTGTCTCCGGTCGGTTAACAATGAACTAATGCAAGGATCGTCGCTGGAGTCGTTCTTGATCATCGGGAAAGTATCTTCGCAAGCGGTTTTAGAGGCAAAGAGGTCTGAAAAGAAATCGTTGATGAAATGGCTGAAGGTATGGCTTGAAGGATTCTCTGTTGAAGCAAGGCTTTGGGTAATGCAATTTGCACTTTGGGTCTTACAAGTCAGAAAATCATTAACCCTATGATATATAATGTCATAAATTGATTAAAATGTTGCAGCCAATTTATATTACACATCCCTCTGTATTCTTTGGTAAGTGGGTTTCAAAATTAACATTTACTAGATCATCACCCGTACTGTAGTACGGGTTGAATTTCATTTATTACAAAATTTATAAATTTTATGTTTTAGAATAAAGTTGTGATATATTATAATAGTAAGTGAAAAAATAATATTTTTTTGTCAGTCCCTATATATAATATTAGAATGAATATATTTTCCTTTTTCTATAGTATTCAATTATGGATATTTTTTTTAAGATATGAAAACGGAAAATAAGATTATTTTTTAAAAAAATTAATATTGTTTGAACAATGAGTTAATTTATGTTAACAACCACAAAATGAGAGTGCATATAATTTAGTTAGATCAAAAATCAAAATATCATAAATGAATCGCATCTAAAACGTATATTATTTTGAATTACTTAAGAAAATTAGCTATTATTTTGAATTAATTTAGAAAATTATTTTTTCAAATTCTGATTCATTGGTTGTTGAAATAGAGATTTGTTTGAGCTAATTACGGAATTTACCAATTATTCACATAATCAAATATGTTATGAACATATATTTGGTATATAATAATACCAAATTTAATCCGTGTGTGCATTATATATTTTCATTTTACAATCCGTATGAAAATATTGCGGCACAATCTATTATTTATTATTTTTAAAATTGCTTGCAGAATCAAATTTTCAAATATTTAGAAGTGTCAAACCTTATTTAACTCATCTCATCATAAAATCTTAAAATACCGTCTGTTATAAGGATCATAACTTTCTACCATATAATACATTACATTTAACCCGCCGCCTACTATAAATATTTTAAACATATCTTTTAAGAAAATCAAATTAATGTATTTATAATTTTTTTTATCTTTTTAATCTATTAAATATTTATGATATTCTTTAATATATTAAATTAAACTATTTTAAAATGTTCCAAATTAAAATCTTTAAATTTTTTTTATTGTATTATGTAAAATTATGAATTTAAAAAAAAATGATATGAAATTAAATATAAATATTCAAATAGTTATAAGGATCATAACTCATTTCATCATATAATATATTATATTCAACCCGCCGCCTATTATAAATATTTGTTTCAAAAAATCAAATTAGAGTACTTATACTTCATAAATTTTTGATCTATTAAGTATTGATGATATTAAAAAAAAAAGGAATATATTACTCAAATATGAATTTTTGACCTGTTAAATTTGTTCTTTCATACATTGAATAATTTATATTCGTTTTTAAAAATTCAAATCTTGGTATATGCGGAAAAAAATTTACTTTTATTTTTATTATATAGATGATATAATGATTTATTTATTTATAGAAATAGAATCATATAAAAATGAGAGGTGAAGTATAATGATTAATAACAAATTAATATGGTAAGTTAGATATCAAATCTTATATGTTCATTTTGATTGGTCATTCTTTTTAAAGAAATTATAATAGATTTTCGTTTTTATAATTAAATTAATTAAATTGCATAAAATAGTATTTGACTTGTTTATCCTTAATGAGTTGAATTAATTTACTCTATAAAATTTTATTTCTAATGGCATTCTTAAGTAAATTCTTACAAAGGGGAAGGTTAATTAAGGGTAATCCATAAATTGTACTCCCCAAATAATAGTATAGGATCATTCTTTGTATACTACTACACAAGGCTGTTATGTACCAAACCAATAAATCAACTTTATATGTACTATGAGATTTGTATTATTTGTATGCTGGGAAGATCTTATTACTTTTAAATTTTTTTTTATATATAAATCTTATTGTCTTCTTAATATTTCTTATACAATTTTCTTCTACTCAACTTTTGTCATCATTTAATCCCAAAGTGTAATTATAAGAACCTTATTTTTCATACGATTTAAACCAGGTGTTGTGACATTTGAATCAAATTGAAACCGAGATGGTTCGGTACGATTCGGTTCTGATTTTTGGTTAAATAGAGAAAACCTTAATTATCCAGTGGCCAACTTTTGTCATCATTTCTCTGTTCTGTCTTTTCGACACTCGAGTCTGTCTTTCTTCGCAGCTGCGACTCCTCTCTGTCTGTCTTCACCGCTCTATAATCTCCCCGCCGATCAATAACTACATTTTCTCCGGTAAAGTCTCTATCTTTATTCGTCTCTACCAGTTCGCTTTGTGTTTCGTGTCACCTACATTTGATAAACCCTAGAAAGAAATTGAGTACCTTTCGAAATTGCAGAAGCGCATTGTTAAAATTCGATTGATGGGTCTTTGTTTTATGATACGTAATCGATTTCTATTGATGAATTAGGTCAATTGAAGCTGTGATTTTGATATTTGGGGTCTCTCAGTTTTTGAAAAAGCTTACACATTTGTTTGAATTTGTCACTGTTGTTGTAGATGGAAGAGAGTGATGCTGTTCCAAAACCAGTTGTTGTTGACCCTCCATTATACGACGAAGCTCCTCCTTCGGCTTCTCGACGCCGGCCGGTGATGATCGCCGCCGATGCAGCTCCTCCAGAAGAAAATCATCTCATTCAGCGGATTCAAAGAGCTCTTGTGGAATTGCGTGAATTGAGAAATCAGTTTAATGCTATTCTTAGGGAACTAGAAGTCGAAGGTGTGTCTGTTTGTGTTTCATCTTCTTATTCTAAATTATTGTGTTTTTTTTTTGTCTGAAAAGTTCAACAATTTTGATGATAATGCAGTAGGAGAAGAAGAAGAGCAAGCGGAATCATCAGTGGAGGATCCAGAGGACTCTGATTCTTAGTTGTTTATTAGAAAATGTTTTGTTTCTTTACTAGTTACCTATTCTATCTATTCTCTGCCCTCATGATTTGCCTAAATTAGCTTTCTCATTCTAAATCATCAAAGCCAACACTTAACAGATCAAGAAGCCAAACTAAAAGTCGGAAAAGAATTACAATACACTTTATTTACATGGATAGATAGTCCACTCAATGCTCTTACATCTTTACAAAAGCCTTAAAATAAACTTCATATAACATGTGATGTGGTAGCCTTTCTCGAATATTTTTCAAGGGTTCTTGCAAATATTGCTTAGTGGTAGAGAAAACTTACATTTCTAAAGAATTTGAACATTCTTCGCCCAACTATTGAGAAATTTACCGGGTTTGACAATTGGTTCACCATCGAAATAAGCAATTAATATGAAAAGTGGTGTAGCACTCGTTGCACCAGTAGAATACTTTTGTGTCCGTATCTTTTAAATTACGTTCGCACGCTTCACACCAATCTTTCTCAAGTACTTTTTCACCACATGAAGATGTGAGAAAATGTGTGTCATACGTATACCTTGCTTTGTATGGTAAGGTTGCACACTTGAAACATAAAATAAAATTGCATTTGATGCAATTTAATTGTTTTAGACATTTTGTTTCGCATACGTGACATATGGGTTCTACTTCTGGGTCTAAAGCTAGGAACAAAGGATGTTCATGACCTTTGTAATCAAACGGCTCAGAAGTTGAAGCACACCTTACATCTAGATCGAAGCTGCATCCCTCTGTGCGACAATGATAGCCAAAGCCGTGACAATCACGATTACAAGCACGACACCATAACCATCTTCCACTGACATCTTCTAGTGTAAGTTGATGAGGATGTAATGCATGTTGAATTTTACGAGGAGCTTTAGCACATGTTTCATGGAGGATGAACTTACACTCCATACAAGAATAGAAGTTACCTTCATAGATAGGAAGGATACACGCTTGACAAAGCTTTTTTCCGTCATAAAGTATGATGACCTTGAGTCGAAGATGATGGTCATGAAGAAAGTGAAGTATCAATCCTTCAGATATCATCTTAAACGGCCCATCATCTTGTGTTATATCATTTTCTTCTGGTACACCTTCGAGTTCTTTTCCATCCCACACATCTTTTCCAATAGCACATATGGGATGAACACCATAATTACTACACTGGTCACAAGTATATGCACCATAATCACTGTTAATAATTAGTCGACAAACACCACAAGACCATTCTCTAGATGGAAGAGAAGAAAGGTAGGAGATACGATGGTGGTGACGTGATATCTTCATGATGCGTGGAAAATTCATACAATCATTATGAGCTACAAAGTTGCATCTGAGACAAACGTAGGTGGGATAAATTTTTCTCAATAAACCACAAACGTTACAAGTTAATGAAGTTTGTCTGGGGAAAATGTAAGAGGATGGTCATGCTTTTTTGGTTGGTCTATAACAAAGGGTATTGGCTTCATCGCACATACTGTATGCATAAAAGCCTGACATATGATACAATGATAAACAAACCATCTTGCTCTTCTTCGGCAACATAAGCACTCAATATCGCGAGACGTAGAAAAACGAAAGGAAAGTTGGAGAGAATGCTCAGGGTGGTAAGGGTGTTTGATTTTAAGTGGAGACTGGACACATTCTCTGTGGAATTTTTCATCACAATAGATACAAAAGTAATAGTCTGTGCCGAAATTTGAGCCTCGACATGTGTCGCACCCACCATCGATATCAAATTCTTTATTGTTGCACCAAAACAAAGGAAGTACATGATGATCATTGGAATCCGTTGTTGTAGGGAAGACGTACTCGGGGGGATCATTCTTCCTTCGTATAATAGGGCATAAGAAAAGAGGTTGAAGAGGAAGGTCGGTGGAGGAGGTTAGGGTATGTGTTTCGGGTATGGGACAATATTTGGGGTGACGGTATACCAAAAACAGTTTACCATCCTTTTCCACCTCATGAAATCCACCGTTAGTATCCATGAATGTGTTAGCCTTTCTTTATTTTTGTTATATGTTTTTTCTAAAAAATATTTGTAATTCAGGATATCAAGCTCTTAACAGTTTTCCAATATAGATATGAAAATTTGATTCGAAATATATTCTTCTAGTTTTGGTTATTAGATCCTTAACGTGAAAACATAGTGAATTTATGTTCTTTTCTTTTGTAGTGGTAATAATGTTCTTCTTTACATACAAATAAAGAATCAACTTTTCTTTGCATATAGTTTTCGTCATTTCTGAAATTTTTACGACTTCAAGATTCTATATTCGTGATCAATTATTGAGCCAAATGCAGGACAAGGTTGGAAATACAAGCTGATGCAGCATGTGTGGATCTTAGTTCATGCTGTCCGTACTTCTATGAATTTGGGTGCAAGTTAGAGCCATTGTGAGTCCATTTCTGAATCTTTCCACTTACATGTTTAAACTGGTACATGTAAGGCCATTCTAAGTTTAAACTGGTACATCCGTACATGTTTGTTCGAGTTAGTGGATTCATTTGTGAAACAGTTTTGGAAAATGTTGCGGTTAATAACTGTACTGCCAAAAAAAACTTTCATCATTACTCATTGGTTTTAATGATAACCTGGATTTTAAAGAAACTCTTCTGCAAATCTTTGTCAGTAATCCGAATAGTTTGGTCTACTTCTCCTTGATTTTACAGTTTGTTTGTCTCTTTGATCTGTGAACAGAGTAAAAGATAAAACTATTGGAATCTTGCTCTCGACTGCGTCTAAGATCAGATACAAGGAGACACTGACAAAAGTATACACTGCAAGTACTTGTCAAGCTTAACCATTGTCATGATGTTTAGAATCATTTATGCAAACCATCATCTTAATCATTATCATCATAGGGTGATTGTATCATATAACTGTCGAAATGATGTAACAACATAAATTAGATATTTAAGGATATGGATTGAAACTAAAACCAAATCATGTGGCCATTCGTGTTCTTGGTAGATTTAGCTGTAGAAATTTGTTTTCTTTTTTATAAGAAAATAAATTGTTAGAGAAAAGTGATGAAAAGGGTAGGGTTAAAAATAAGTGAAATAAAGTAGTGTTGTTTTGAAATGGAAGAACAAAGTTGGGAGGAGAATCATGATTTCACGGTGGTGCTTTGGAATTTTGATTTTGGTAGTGCCCAGGTTCTTGGAACCAAATTCTGATCTTACTACAAAAAAAAAAATATCTTGCGGATTATTATTATAGCTTAATGTTCCATAAAATAAAGCTTTGAATTAAAAAATTTTTTGTGCAAAATCTTTGAATTAACTAAAATAAGTTTCTTATAGATTCTTGTTGTTTGTTCTCTAACACTCTTGTAATGTTTATCTAAACTTGGAACTAATTAGATGTCAAAAAACACTACAATTCATTATATAAAATGCCTAAATCGTATTAACAATCTATATAATAAGATATCTAAACGAATAAAAAATCTTAAAGTGTTGTTAATAACGCTGACCAAATCAAAGGCAAATTTAGACATGAAACATGAGATGATCATGCGTATAGGAATTTGGTTCCTGCACCGTGGCAAGTCGTACACCATATACCTTTTTCCCTATTTTATTCATGTTTTACTATATATTCACTTTACAATAAATATCTTTAGATATTTCTACAATAAGATCCTTATCTCTCTCCCTTTTTTTAATTTAAATAAAAACTCAAGAAAAGTGCATTAAAAGCTCTGTACTTTATTCCTCACACCCAATCACTGCACAACTTCACTCACGCGCGTGTTCTTTAATATCAGATAGATAAGTCTACGTGAGATACACGCTCCTATGATTCGAGTGTTGATGAAACAGAACTTACTCGCCTCGGTGTCCAATTTTAATCAGAAGATATTTACTATAAATATCTGATTTCTCTCGACTTCGAAAATCCAAAACGTCAAAAAAAATAAAACAAAACACAATTAATTAAAAATTATTATGAAGAGGAACGGCGAGACGAAACGGCGGAGGAACGTGGCGGAGGAAGCAGAGCAGGGAGGAGGAGGAGGAGGAGAAGATCCAGCGATGTGGGAGAATCTTGACAGGAATTTCAGACAAGTGCAATCAGTTTTAGACAGAAACAGATCACTGATTCAACAAGTCAACGACAATCACCAATCGAGAATGGCTGATAACATGTCGAAGAACGTTGCTTTGATTCAAGAACTCAACGGAAACATTTCTAAGGTTGTTAACATGTATTCTGATCTCAATACTAGTTTCTCATCGGGGTTTCACGGTGGAAAGAACGGTCACGACGGTGGTGGTGCTGCCGGAACAAGAGCTTAATGAACCCGAATCAAATTGTTTCTTCATAGTTGGACCGGCCGGTTTGAGAATTTTGAATCTGTCCGGTTCAAGCTAGGGATGATATATAAAAAAGTTATTATATGTTAGTTTTTATTGCAATGATGATTGTTGTTAGAATAATCCGTGGGAGCAAACCCATCTATTGGGTTATTTTAATTATGGTTTTGAGTCTTTTTCAATGTGTCTCTACTGCAATTTCTCTAATGATAATAATAATAATTGGTATTAGATTACTTATCTTTTTCTGGTTTGATTCTGTTTTGAGACTTTTCTCATGTGACCTCGATATAAATGAAGGCTTGTGGTTAGATTGTTGCAACTTGGGGTAAGTAATTTCGTCACCTAGTGATGCAATTTGGTATGACATGTTAAATACAATTGTTTTCTAGTGACTTTTCACAAGGCTTCTGTGTATAAGAAAACTATAGCATAAAAAATTTATACATTGTGACAATATTCAGTCATATGAAAATCAAACCTTTTTTTTGAATTAGAATTGCATATGAAGAGGTTTAAAGTGGTTGGCGTTGTGCTCTGCCGTGACCGATTAAAATCACGATTTCACTACAAACCTTTTCTTGTTAACTTCTAGTACTTTTTCAGTCATCATAAAATAACAAATTCTTGCTGTTTTTGTGTGTGTGTGTGTATGTATATATACAAGAAGATTATGTACGATACATTGTAACATGGAATTTGATTTTTCTTTTGTGCATTAAGAATTTTGTTTTTCTTAAGAAAAAAATTCCATAAAAACTTAATCTAAGTAGAGAAAAAAATGATGTTCGAAAGGATTAAAAACAGAGGTCACATTAATATCAAACTAAACACACACAATCGAAAGAAAACTACTTGGGCCTGATGGGGTTTGTCGGGCTCGGAAGACTCTAGTGCTTGTTGGAGTTGATGTAATTAAGCAGTTTCTCTTTCTCATTTGGTTTGTGTCAGTTTTATTTCCCATGATGGACAGAAAAAGCAAAAAAAAATAAGTAAGTATTATGGACTGTGGTGAACATTAAATGTTGATTTTATTGAGTATACATTTTCATTTATATTGTTGACTCTTTCTATAGAAGAGGATGAATTTTCATATTCCATGTTTCATTAGATGTAATTGACATATTAAAGATTATGTGATTATAGTATTATACTAATTTCTAACTAACTTATATACTCGGGGTTTTAGGAAATACAGCACACAATCAAATCTATCTTCAACGTTTTCATGAAATAATACTTCATTTATGACAAAATTCTCTGTACCATTTTGACAACTACTGGCTTTGTCTTCTCCAAATACTTTGTTTTCAACATGATGGTGTTCATCAGTTAGGTAATGGTGGTGACAATGACATTGTACATGCCCTTGACCATATAAATCGTAGGAGATATATCTGTCCTTTAATATTCTTTTGTCTTGTTGGACCATTGTTTTTTTTTTGTTTGTTTCATCAGATTAAGTAAGTTATGTAAACCTTTTTCTTCACAGAATTTCTTATATGAGCTTTTTCTTTTTCCTCAAGAAGAAGATTACATAGCAGAGCTAATCGCTTGCCTAGAGCCTAGGGAAGGAAGACAAATGAAGGTGCAGTGTATTCTAAATTAGCAACATCGACCGTCGATTCTTATTGTGGCCTAAAGTCTAGACCATTGTGTCTTAAACCCATTTCAAATTCAAACCCAATAGTTTTTTTCTAATGAAATATGAAGTTCTAAACTATTAATCAAACTTGTATGGGATTCACTTTGTTTATCTTTTTGGACAATTCACGAGTTTATCTCTTAAGTTTCCGCCCCTTTTAGCCCTTGGGATGAACACCTCTTCCAACCTCACATCAACCTAACCGTTCATGTCTATCAACATATGATCCAATCGTCGAGTCAATAACATGTCCAAAATATTAGGTTTCACAACTTAATAATCTCTCACTTGGACACTAATCACAATCATATCTTCCCATATACGATGGTGAATCCGATCCTTAGTCTAGAAATCCAAATGATGTTGCACACAACCACATTTTACCATATATTACAACATTTCTCAACATTTTTGTTGGATTATGACTATACGAATTCGTCTCATGCACTGACACTCCATACTCCAAAACTAGTCTAACAAAGTGATACCAAATTAGTTTATACTTTGTTTGAGCATGTTAAACCGGAATTCTTTACCAAATACTAAAAGACACTCTTAACTATCACACTATATCACCCTTTCTTTGCAGCCATGATCGATCAACGTCCGCCCGATCTTCGGATCAAAGATATAAATTAGACTCCAGAACTAAATAGTGTTTTAAGTGAGTTAGTTAATAACCAATTGAACAACAATCCAATCCACCAACTTTTCAAAATGTCAACCCCTCCCAAAATACAATTGCCAATAAATGAGCTTAAAATAGTTTTAAGAATATTTAGGCTTAAAATCATTGCTAAAACTAGAAATTTAGTATGTTACCTAATCAGTAGGTACTTAATGACAGATTAAGACCTAATAATTTGAGGAAACCTAATTTCCAATTGAAATAAACTTAATAGTTAGGTCTCTATAGTTTTCAAATTTAATAATCAGATTCAACAAAGGTCTTACCACTCCGAACACTATTTCTTTATATGGTTCAACAAACGGGATTATAATACAATAAACTCAAGAATCATTGATCAATTTCGAGTAAGTCGTGTTTCAATGGTTGAAGAATATATAAAATATTCCATTCAAAACTCTGACAATATAATCTTAAAAAAACAAACAAAAAACATTGGAATAATCATTGAGTAACACATTACAAAAAATAAAAAAAAGTAGAAGAAGAGCAGAGAGAATCCTTAGGCTTGAAGCGATAGAAACAATTGATTAACGCATTAGGTACCAGTCCAGATGTCTTGTCCCGTCACTGAAAAAATTTCTCATCAAACCCCAAAAATAAACTTTTTTTTTTTTTTGAGCTTATGAAAGTTTCCAATTTAACCGATCTCAAAGCTCAATAATTACACTCAATGCCACTCCTCTTCACACTTTCTCTCTTCTCTCTCCCAATTCCTCCTCAATCTCTCTCTCTCTCTCCCTCGATCTCCCAAAATCTCTCTCTTTCTCTGTTAGGTTTTTATTTTCTGCTTCTGGGTTTTTTTCTCCGTTAACTGTAGTTGGGTTAGGGTCTTGAGCTCCGTTCCTCGACAATGGCGGTTTCTTTGAGAAGAAAGCTCGTGTCTTCTTCCTTCTATTAAAAAAAAAAGTTAACTTTCCCCTTTTTTCTTCTTCCTTTCTACTTAACTTACAAATGGGAAATTTCTGAAAAATGTGTTGCAAGTTAAGCTTGTGAAAGTTTCGATTTTTCGTTTTGGGTTCTTCGATTTTTTTAAGTTTATAGACAATAATTTAACTTTTTAGATTATAGGTCCGTTGGGAGTAAATTGGAAGCTAAGTTAGTGTCTTTTTGATCTGTTGTAAGTTTGGTGAGCAATGAATCGAAGTTTTAGGGCAAAAGAGTCTCTATTGCTGGATTCAGCAGAGAGACAAAGGCAACAGCTTAGGGCTTCTATGATGGCTGAGAAAGATGAAGAGCTTTCTTTGTTTCTTGAGATGAGACGGCGTGAGAAAGAGCAGGATAATCTCCTTCTTAACAATAACCCTGATGAGTTTGAATCTCCATTAGGTATGTAATATGTTTTTTTTTCTGTCTAATTTTGTGGAATCATGTTTCTGATTTGGTCTTGGAGGTTGATTAGTTCTTGATGGGGTTTGGTTTGTTAGGTTCAAAGCCTGGAACTTCACCGGTGTTTAACATCTCTAGTGGTGCTCCACCACCTCGGAAGACAGCTGCTCCTGATGATTTTCTTAATTCTGAAGGCGATAAAAATGACTATGAATGGTAACTTTTTTTATCTCAATTTTTCGTGTTGTGACGCTATGGTTCATAAATTCAGTATGTGAACATATTCACCGGTGATGGTTTGAATTTTCTTAGCCACCTTAAGTGCAACCGGTTTAAGTATTCTTTGTGATAGTATAGTGGTTTTGAAGTGATATATATGTGGTAGTATTGTTGTTAATTGATGTATGCAACCTCGTAGTTTTGTTTCCTTGGAATTGTGCTGTTTCTTCACATTTCATCATTGTCTATATAAGGCATGTGTTGCATCTGATAGACTCGAATTTGGTGTCAGAATTTGGCACCCTTTGTTTGCAAGGTGGGTGAGTCTTGCACTGAATGCTTATCAAGTGTAGAATTTTGCTGCGTTAATTGTTCATCATCTTTGTGAATGAGGCAGCATATCTGTTATCTCTTTTTAGACATTCATATGCTTTCTTGAACAATGTATTATTTATCTGTTTATCATTTCCACCCTAACTTCTCCTTGTCTTTCGAAGGCTTCTGACTCCTCCAGGTACTCCTCTATTTCCATCCCTGGAGATGGAATCACATAGGACTATGATGAGTCAGACTGGTGATTCAAAGAGTCGCCCGGCTACATTGACTTCTAGGGTAAGAATGTTATTGCTTAGTGTTCTGACCTCTTTTATCAACTCGTGGATACTAGACAAACAGCCAAAAGTAGTGCAACCAGTGTTAAAATAAAGCTTTGCTGATATTGTTGTTTTGAACCGCCACTACTGGTTTAACCTGCCGCATCAGTCTGTGACGTTTACATCTCAAGTTTCATGATTTTCACTAGTAAATTGGATTTATACTTAATTGTTATGTGTGATGTTGCTCTGGATTTTTCTTAGAGTAGCGCATTTTCAGTAGCATAAGGTTGATGCAAGAAATACATATCCCAAATCAGATTCTTGTATGCTACACACTAAAATTAAACGTTCAATTGTTCGATCTCTGAACTTTTTTTATATTTGGAATCACTACTTCGTTACGGTAACCTATGAATTATTTGTTGTAGCTGGCGAATTCCTCAACAGAGCCTGCTGCAAGGAACCATCTAACATCTAGACAACAAACTTCTTCTCCTGGATTGAGCTCTTCAAGTGGAGCAAGTCGAAGACCTTCATCGTCTGGAGGACCTGGATCAAGACCTGCCACACCCACTGGAAGATCATCAACACTGACGACAAATTCAAAATCCTCAAGGCCTTCAACACCCACTTCGCGAGCCACTGCCTCCTCAACTACTCGACCTTCTTTGACTAATTCTAGGTCCACAGTATCTGCAACAACTAAGCCCACTCCTATGAGTAGGTCAACTAGTTTATCATCTAGGCTCACACCGACTGCATCTAAGCCGACTATTTCAACTGCTAGATCTGCTAGTTCAGCAACTAGATCTACCCCCAGCACCGCCACAAAATCTGCAGGTCCTTCAAGGTCCACAACACCTCTGTCAAGATCTACTGCCAGATCTTCAACACCAACTTCAAGACCCACACTTCCTCCATCTAAAACCATATCAAGGTCATCTACACCAACTCGCCGTCCAATTGCTTCTGCAAGTGCTACAACTACTACAGCAAAGCCCACAATATCCCAAATCAAGCCTTCTTCTCCAGCGCCAGCAAAGCCTATGCCAACACCATCTAAGAACCCTGCTTTATCTCGTGCAGCATCTCCTACAGTGAGGTCAAGACCATGGAAGCCATCAGACATGCCTGGTTTCTCATTAGAAACTCCTCCAAATCTAAGGACAACATTACCCGAAAGGCCACTTTCAGCGACAAGAGGCAGACCTGGAGCTCCAAGCCCTCGTTCTGGTTCAGTTGAGCCAGGGGGTCCTCCAGGAGGAAGACCAAGAAGGCAATCATGTTCACCATCAAGAGGAAGAGCACCAATGTACTCTAGTGGTAGCTCTGTTCCTGCGGTTAATCGTGGATATTCCAAAGCCAGTGACAATGTTAGCCCGGTGATGATGGGAACAAAAATGGTGGAGAGAGTAATAAACATGCGGAAACTTGCTCCTCCCAGATCAGATGACAAGGGTTCTCCTCATGGTAACTTGTCTGCAAAGTCTTCATCACCAGACAGTGCAGGATTTGGAAGAACGCTCTCCAAGAAGTCCCTTGATATGGCAATAAGGCATATGGTATGTACCTCTCTCTCTTCTCTGTTCAACAGTGGTGGGAATTGTGTTTAACTGATGATCAAACGTTTTGATGAAAACAGGACATACGTAGAACTATTCCAGGGAATCTGAGACCACTAATGACGAACATTCCAGCATCATCAATGTACAGTGTGAGGTCTGGACATACACGTGGTAGACCGATGAATGTTTCAGATTCTTCTCCTCTGGCAACAAGCAGCAACGCAAGCTCAGAGATCAGTGTCTGCAACAACAATGGCATTTGCTTAGAGGCAAGTGAAAAGGAAGACGACGCAGGCAGCGAGAGAGGTTGCAGGTCCCCTGCAAGCTTACAAGGGAGATGAAGGAAGAAAGAAAAGAAAAGCCTTTTGTAAAACGTTCACCTTTGAGAATCTCTTTTCTTTATTGTTTGTGAGTTTTTATTAATCACACGAGTTTGATAATGATGATATGTGAAGTAGCGTTTTGACGTTTTATGTAAACCTCTCCACTCTCGTCTCTACGTTTTAACCCTAAATTGGATGATCCTTTAACAGATTGGTTGAAGATATTAACCACTTTTCAATGGTAACTCACTGAATTCAAACATAAAAAGTTATCATTCCAATATGACATAATTATGTTAATAACACACATGACCCATAAGATCTCTCAGCTGTTTATAACACATAATGAAATGCAAAGACCAAATTCACACAAGATGTAAGCAATGAATAAGAAAACCAAAGAGGTTTTTAAGCAGCAGTAACGGCCTTAGTGGGCTTGGTTTCGGGAACATTCTTTGGAGGAGCAGCCGCCTCATCCGATGGAGGTTGAGAAGTGAGCTTCAGGTGAGAAGGTGGGTTGTGTTTGAGCTTCACCAATATTTGTCTCATTCTTGTTAGATCGGTTGGCTTACCGGGCTTTGGACCTTGAATCACAGAGATTGATGGCTTCTTAGGGTCTTGTTGGTCTTTCTTTCCTCTTCTTTTCTCTATTGTTGGAACCTCTTTAGGAACTAGCTCTGCTATTGCCTTCCAGTAATTCTTGCTAGATTCCGCGTATAACTTCTCTTGGTTCTCCAGATACAGCTTAAGTGTTAAAAGACAAACAAAACACGTAAGCGAAAGTTTAACCAAAACTGTAACATTGCAATATGCAGCTAAAAAGGTATCAAAGATCACAATTAACTACAACAAGTAAAACATATTAGATCAGCTTAGGAAGAAATCTCAAAACTGACAATGCATTAAGATAATCAATCACAGTTGACTTAAGACTAAGATGGTCAAAGTTTGAAAATCTTAATTTCAACAAGCCATTGGACTTTCCATTGACCATTCACCACAAACCACATGACAACAACACAGATTGAGAAAAGAAGACACCTTTTCCTTCTCCCTGTTAGCTGCTTTGTTGTTTTGACAAGTTACTTCAATCTTCTTATGGAACTCTTCTTTGTATTGATTAGCTTCCTCAATAATTTGCTTCAACAATTCCTTTTCTCTCTTCTCCTTCTCTTCAAGTTGAATTGCATTATGTCTACACATAAACATAAAGTCATATCAATAAATCAGATCTATACAAACACTACAAGCTTATGGATCAACATGTTATTGCAGAACATACGAGTTGAGCAATAAACTCTAAGCAAGAGCCACAGATCCGATCTAATAAACTGATTACTTCTGAGAACAATGGACACTAACTAGCAGACAACTTCAAATTTACAAAATTGTGAATCGAAATCCAAAATTGAAACTCTCAGATTAGCAAAGAGATTCTCAGTTTTCTACACTAAAGGTATCCACTTTACCCATTTTCTTCAGGAAGAAGTAAACCTAAAGCAACAAAGATCAAAACTTTGAGTAGATCTAACCTTCTCCATTCTCTAAGAGCAAATCCCTCGTCTGATTCCATCTCCGACGGTGGTGGCAAGATAGGACCGTCGTGTTCACCGTTGGATCCGAAGACGCCGTCACCGTTCGAGTAAGCACCGTAGTCAGAAGAAGGCGCTGCAAAGACATCGTCGACGGAGTCATCGACTTGGACTGAGCCGTCGTAGGCTGAGAAAGAATCAGTGGCGTCAAAAGAGCCTGAGACTGGAACAGACTCAGACGCATCATCGTTGAGTATGACGAAGGAATCGTCTTCAAAGACAGACATCTCTTCGAATAAAAAGAAAAAAGCAGAACGAACGAAGAACTCGCGACTCTCTCTTGTTTGTCTTTTCAAGCTTGGAAATGAAAATGGCAAAATCTGTAATAACGGAGATTTGTGTTTTTTTCTTGTATTTTTTTTTAATGGGCTTTTCTTCCGAGCCCAAATATTTCTAATTCATCACGAGTACTCCGGTTTAGTTATGGTTTAGGTTTCAACCGATCCACTATTCTCAATCTCAATCCTAGACTTACAATGTTCCAATTCATAGCTCCTAATCTACTGAAAATTTGAAAGAAACTTGTTATTCAAATTCAAACCTTATTTTTCTGTGTTTCATGACCTAATTCATAAAGTCTCAAATCTATTTGGCACAATGAATTGATCGAGAATCTCAAAGAATCGGAAAATTTTAAAAATGACGAAAACTATCATGCCAAGGAAAGTTGATACTTTATTTGCATATAAAGAATACCATTACCACTTAGAAAGAAAAGAACAAAATGCATCACGTTTTCACGTTACCCTAAAGTAGAAGAACACTTTTGGAATCAAATTATCATTTATTTATAGTGGAAAATTGTTAACAACTTGATATCCTCTATAGCAGAAATCATTTTTAAAATAGCCTTTCACACAAATATAGTAAAGAAAGACTAAGAGAGAGTGAGATGGATTCTAACGGTGGATTTCATGTGGTGGAAAAGGATGGTAAACTGTTTTTGGTATACCATCACCCCAAATATTGTCCCATACCCGAAACACATACCCTAACCTCCTCCACCGACCTTCCTCTTCAACCTCTTTTCTTATGCCCTCGTATACGATGTAAGAATTACTCGTCTTATATCATTTCATTCACGTTTCAGCTCATTTCTTCCCCCGAGTACGTCATCCCTACAACAACGGATTCCAATGATCATCATGTACTTCCTTTGTTTTGGTGCAACAATAAGGAATTTGATATCGATGGTGGGTGCGACTTGTGTGGAGGCTCAAATTTCGGTACAGACTATTACTTCTGTAACAACTGTGATCGAAAATTCCACAGAGAATGCGTCCAGTCTCCACTTAAAATCAAACACCCTTACCACCCTGAGCATTCTCTCCAACTTTCCTTTCATTCTTTTCTAGGTCCCAATATTGAGTGTTTATGTTGTAGAAGAAGAGCATATTGGTTGGTTTATCATTGTACCATATGTCAGGCTTTTATGCATACAGTATGTGCGATGAAGCCAATACCCTTTATTATAGACCCACCAAAACAGCATATCCATCCTCTCACCTTTTTCATTAGACAAATAGGTTTAACTTGTAACGTTTGTGGTTTGTCGAGAAAAACTGATCCCACCTACGTTTGTTTAAGATGTAACTTTGTAGCTCATAATGATTGTATGAATTTCCCACACATCATCAAGATCTCACGTCACCACCATCGTATCTCCTTCACTCTTTCTTTTCCATCCAGAGAACGGTTATGTGGAGTTTGTCGTCAAAATGTTAATGGTGATTATGGTGCATATACTTGTGACAAGTGTAATGATTATGCCGTTCATTCAATATGTGCTACAAGGAATGATTTGTGGGATGGAAAAGAACTCGAAGGTGTACCAGAAGAAGATGATATTATAGAAAATGTCAGGCCGTTTGAGATGATATCTGAAGGAGAAATACTTCATTTTCTTCATGACCATCATCTCAGGCTAGAGAGCATCATACTTTTTGACGAAAATAAATTTTGTCAAGCGTGTGTCCTTCCTATCTATGAAGGTAACTTCTATTCTTGTGTGGAGTGTGAGTTCATCCTCCATGAAAATTGTGCTAAGGCTCCCCGTAGAATCCAACATGCCTTACATAGTCATCCACTTACATTGAAGGCTGTCGATGAAAAGTATTCCTTTTGCAATGCGTGTGATCGTATATATAGTGGCTTTCGCTATGGGTGTTACAAAGGTGGATACATGTATGATCTAGATGTAAGGTGTGCTTCAATTTCTGAGCCGTTTGATTACAAAGGTCATGAACATCCCTTGTTCCTAGCTTTAAACCCAGAAGTAATCCCCATATGTCATGTATGCAAAAGAGAATGTCAAAAACAATTAAATTGCATCCAATGCAATTTTATTGTATGTTTCAGATGTGTTACCTTACCATACAAAACAAAATATAAGCATGACACACACTTTCTCACAATTTCATATGGTGAAGAAGTACGCGAGAAAGATTGGTGTGAAGTATGCGAACAGAATTTAAAAGATACGGGCACAAAAGTGTTCTATTGGTGCAACGAGTGTTACACTACTTTTCATATTGAATGCGTATTAGGAGAAGACCCATATATGAAGCTTGGTAAATATTGGGAGAAGATGGAAATTCTTGGCAAATGTAACATTTCTCGACCATTGTGCTATTATTGCAAGAAACGTTGTCAGGGGAAAATATTTAAGAGAGGTAACAACATAGCATGTTCTATGAACTGTTTTTATTATATAAAGACGGAGACTGAGCCTGAGCCTGAGACGGAGATGGAGACTGAGTCTGAGACGGAGACTGAGCCTGAGCCTGAGATGGAGACTGAGTCTAAGTCTCAGTCTGAGACGAAGACTGAGTCTGAGTCTTAAAGTCGTCACCTCCATTACCTATAGACTGAGTCGGAGGCTGAGACTGTTCTTCCCCAGGTGGTGTGGCATCTTGGTTGTTCCTGTCTCTGTTTCCGCTAGGCCGAGGTTTCACACAAGATGTAAGCAATGAATAAGAAAACCAAAGAGGTTTTTAAGCAGCAGTAACCGCCTCAGTGGGGTTGGTTTCAGGAACACTCTTTGGAGGAGCAGGAGCAGCCGCCTCCTCCGATGGAGGTTGAGAAGTGAGTTTCAGGTGAGAAGGTGGGTTGTGTTTAAGCTTCACCAATATTTGTCTCATTCTTGTTAGATCGGTTGGCTTACCGGGCTTTGGACCTTGAATCACAGAGACAGTTGGCTTCTTAGGGTCTTGTTGCTCTTTCTTTCCTCTTCTTTTCTCAATTGTTGGAACCTCTTTAGGAACTAGCTCTGCTATTGCCTTCCAGTAATTCTTGCTAGATTCCGCGTAGAACTTCTCTTGGTTCTCCAGATACAGCTTAAGTGTTAAAAGACAAACAAAACACGTAAGCGAAAGTTTAACCAACACTGTAACAATGCAATATGCAGCTAAAAAGGTATCAAAGATCACAATTAACTACAACAAGTAAAACATATTAGATCAGCTTAGGAAGAAATCTCAAAACTGACAATGCATTAAGATAATCTATCACAGTTGACTTGAGACTAAGATGGTCAAAGTTTAAAAATCTTAATTTCAACAAGCCATTGGACTTTCCATTGACCATTCCCCACAAACCACATGACAAAAACACAGATTGAGAAAAGAAGACACCTTTTCCTTCTCCCTGTTAGCTGCTTTGTTGTTTTGACAAGTTACTTCAATCTTCTTATGGAACTCTTCTTTGTATTGATTAGCTTCCTCAATAATTTGCTTCAACAATTCCTTTTCTCTCTTCTCCTTCTCTTCAAGTTGAATTGCATTATGTCTACACATAAACATAAAGCCATATCAATAAATCAGATCTATACAAGCACTACAAGCTTAAGGATCAACATGTTATTGCAGAACATAAGAGTTGAGCAATAAACTCTAAGCAAGAGCCACAGATCCGATCTAATAAACTGATTACTTCTGAGAACAATGGACACTAACTAGCAGACAACTTCAAATTTACAAAATTGTGAATCAAAATCCAAAATTGAAACTCTCAGATTAACAAAGAGATTCTCAGTTTTCTACACTAAAGGTATCCACTTTATCAATTTTCTTCAGGAAGAAGTAAATTGATCGAGAATCTCAAAGACGAAAACTATCATGCCAAGGAAAGTTGATACTTTATTTGCATGTAAAGAATACCATTACCACTACAAAGAAAAGAACAAAATGCATCATGTTTTCACGTTACCCTAAAGTAGAAGAACACTTTTGGAATCAAATTATCATTTATTTATAGTGGAAAATTGTTAACAACTTGATATCCTCTATAGCAGAAATCATTTTTAAAATAGCCTTTCACACAAATATAGTAAAGAAAGACTAAGAGAGAGTGAGATGGATTCTCACGGTGGATTTCATGTGGTGGAAAAGGATGGTAAACTGCTTTTGGTATACCATCACCCCAAATATTGTCCCATACCCGAAACACATACCCTAACCTCCTCCACCGACCTTCCTCTTCAACCTCTTTTCTTATGCCCTAATATACGATGGAAGAATACCTCGTATTATATCAATTCAGACACTATTCCGCTCAATTTCCCCCCCGAGTACGTCTTCCCTACAACAACGGATTCCAATGATCATCATGTACTTCCTTTGTTTTGGTGCAACAATAAAGAATTTGATATCCATGGTGGGTGCGACATATGTCGAGGCTCAAATTTCGGCACAGACTATTACTTTTGTATCTATTGTCATGAAAAATTCCACAGAGAATGCGTCCAGTCTCCACTTAAAATCAAACACCCTTACCACCCTGAGCATTCTCTCCAACTTTCCATTCATCCTTATCGCGCTCCCGATATTGAGTGCTTATGTTGCCGAAGAAGAGCAAGATGGTTTGTTTATCATTGTACCATATGTCAGGCTTATATGCATCCAACATGTGCGATGAAGCCAATACCCTTTATTATAGACCCACCAAAACAGCATATCCATCCTCTCACCTATTTCACTAGACAAATAGGTTTAACTTGTAACGTTTGTGGTTTGTCCAGAAAAACTTATCCCACTTACGTTTGTTTAAGATGTAACTTTGTAGCTCATAATGATTGTATGAATTTCCCACACATCATTAAGATCTCACGTCACCACCATCGTATCTCCTTCACTCTTTCTTTTCCATCCAGAGAACGGTTATGTGGAGTTTGTCGTCAAAGTGTTAATGGTGATTACGGTGCATATACTTGTGACAAGTGTAATGATTATGCCGTTCATTCAATATGTGCTACAAGGAAGGATTTGTGGGATGGAAAAGAACTCGAAGGTGTACCAGAAGAAGATGATATTACAAAATATGTCAGGCCGTTTGAGATGATATCTGAAGGAGAAATACTTCATTTTCTTCATGACCATCATCTCAGGCTAGAGAGCATCTTACTTTTTGACGAAAATAAATTTTGTCAAGCGTGTGTCCTTCCTATCTATGAAGGTAACTTCTATTCTTGTGTGGAGTGTGAGTTCATCCTCCATGAAAATTGTGCTAAGGCTCCCCGTAGAATCCAACATGTCTTACATCGTCATCCACTTACATTGAAGAAGGATGACAATGTAGATTATTCCTATTGCGATGCTTGTGGTTGTAGATATAGTGGCTTTGACTATGGGTGTTACAAAGGTGAATGCGACTATGCTCTAGACGTAAGGTGTGCTTCAATTTCTGAGCCGTTTGATTTCAAAGGTCATGAACATCCCTTGTTCCTAGCTTTAAACCCAGAAGTAAAACCCATATGTCATGTATGCAAAAGAGAATGTCGAAAACAATTAAATTGCATCCAATGCGGATGCAATTTTATTGTATGTTTCAGATGTGTTACCTTACCATACAAAACAAAATATAAGCATGACACACACTTTCTCACAATTTCATATGGTGAAGAAGTACGCGAGAAAGATTGGTGTGAAGTATGCGAACAGAATTTAAAAGATACGGGCACAAAAGTGTTCTATTGGTGCAACGAGTGTTACACTACCTTTCATATTGAATGCGTATTAGGAGAAGACCCATATATGAAGCTTGGTAAATATTCTGATTATTGGAGGGGGGAGATAGAAATTCTTGGCAAATGCAATATTTCTCGACCATTGTGCTATTATTGCAAGAAACGTTGTCGGGGGAAAATATTTAAGAGAGGTAACAAAATAGCATGTTCTATGAAATGTCTTTGATGAGATAGAGAATTTGTAAAGATGTATGAGCATTCAACCTCTTTTAAATAAAGCGTAATTTCTCCTTTTACTTTCAGTTTGACTTCTTAAACAGTTAAGCGTGGCTTCGATGATTTTAAAAGAAAAAGCTAAAACACGCAAGAAATCATGGAATCAAGGTAGAGATAGAAACATGATAGAAAAGGTACTGTAGAAAGAAACAACAAAATATCAAAATTATTGAATTTTAAAGGGGAAAACTATCTATTTCCCAATAAAATATAGCACTAGAAAGAGCTCAAACTATGGTTCCTATAAAACATACTTGTAATCTTATTATATCTCCCGAGGACACAGAATCTAGTTTAATCGGTGAACGACCTAAACCGATACAAAACCACCTAATACCAAAATAATAATCTAGCTCTAAGGCTCTAAGCGAGGAAGACATCTGATTTCCTTTAATCCCGTGTTGTGACCATTCGAGTAAGAAATTTGATGTCTTTAATTTCTGTTTTAAGGAGTTGAAAATATCATCAATTAGTTTGACATCAGATGGAGAATGGAGAGACAGAGATGACTCTCCCTTCCTCATTCATTTTAAGTTTGGATTATATGCTCAGGTTGTTATTTTAGTTGGGACAGGTAGTGGAGTGATATGCGTTGAAGTGAAGATCCTAAAAGATTCAAAGTGAAGTTTGAAAATAAACTGCAAACAAGAAGCATATGAGATGGCAAATGCATTGCTCAATAAATAGTCAATGTCAAAGCATCACTACAATGCCGCTAGACTTTAAAACTAAACAAGTCACTGAAACCTAAACCTGAGTTAAGGACAAACGATCTGAAACTAGAGAACTGCATTTACACATTGTTTTGCACTTCACATCAGAGCCTTTTAATGATAAATAAAACCCGCCATTCTCTCCACTCTTTTATGTACATCTCAAAACAAAACAGTGGAGACTCAATGGTTTACCTAAACCAACCAAATCTTCTTTGGTTCTCAAGAGTTTATGTCTGCGTCTGGGACGGAGACTGAGACTGAGTCTGAGTCTGAGATGGAGACGGAGACTGAGTCTGAGTCTGAGATGGAGACTGAGTCTGAGTCTGAGATGGAGACTGAGCCTGAGCCTGAGCCTGAGCCTGAGTCTGAGATGGAGACTGAGTCTGAGTCTCAGTCTGAGACGAAGGCTGAGACTGAGTCTGAGTCTTAAAGTCGTCACCACCATTACCTATAGACTGAGTCGGAGGCTGAGACTGTTCTTCCCCAGGTGGTGTGGCATCTTGGTTGTTCCTGTCTCTGTTTCCGCTAGGCCGAGGTTTCGTAAAGTACTTGTCAATGAATTCTTCAGCGCGGTCAGGGTATTTCATCATCAAATAGTTGTTGAGGGATTTTCGGTATGAAAAGTCCTGTTTGGCCCCATCAGTTGAGACAACAAAGAAGCACCTGCTGTCTGAGAAGATGGTGTGCTTATCAACCTACATTGTTGTTCAACCAAGAATTTCACATCAGGCATAAGGCTAAGTAAGCTTCAGAAGAGAAGCTAAGTTTGTCAAGGAGAATGCTGTTTTACCGTGATGAAATCAACACCAGAACCGAGCTTTGTCTCTTTTTGGGGATGGAAGTTCAAAATCTTCTCCAGGACAAACGTCTTGTCATCATCAGAAATTGGGTCTCCATCAGGGTACCTTCATTGAAAGAACATAGTTTTAGAAAGATGAAGCATAACAAGTAGATGGAATGTTAAACAGCATAATTAATTATACATAGAACTGGAAATTGTATAGACTGAGCTTAAGAACTAGAAAGGCATACGCAGACGGATGCATTATTTTCCTGAGAGTCCTCATGACTGGCTCAACATCTGAGAGCAGCTCTTGCTCCTCAGAGGTGAATGAGTCCAAGCGCTGTCTCGTTGCTGTAAACATGGGAGCCAAATTATCCTCAGATCTAGGTGGCCTAGGAGTATGGTTCCTCTTTCCTTTCCAGTCTGCACCACCACCATTGGACCAGCCACCACTAGATGGAAATTTCTTGGCTGGATTTCCCCACTGGATTCTCTCTTTATCATCCTTATCTCTACTTTTGGTCTCCTTCAAGGAAACCCACGGGTTTTCATCATCTTCATTGGCATCCTCGTTTGCTGCAGTGGGAGTTGGCTGTCCCCAAGAACCCCAAGCAGCAGCACCTGATTCAGTTTCAGAAGTCTTTTTGTCCCTAGAACCCCAAGCAGCCGCATCTGATTCAGTTTCCGAATTGTTTTTGTCACTAAAACCCCAAACAGCAGCATCTGTAGATCCCCAAGCAGGAGGACCTGATTCAGTTTCCGATCTCTTTTTGTCCCAAGTACCCCAAGCAGCTGGACCTGATTCAGTATCCGATTTCTTTTTGTCCCAATTACCCATAGCAGCAGGACCTGATTCAGTTTCAGAGTTCTTTTTGTCCACGATACCCCAACCAGCAGGACCTGATTCAGTTTCCGATTTCTTTGTATCCCAAGCACCCCAAGTAGAAGGACCTGACTCAGTTTCAGGTTTATTTTTGCTCTGAGAACCCCAAGCAGCAGGTTCCGAGTCAGTTTCCATGTTCTTTTTGTCCCAAGAACTCCATGCAGCAGCACCTGATTTAGTTTTGTCACTAGAACCCCAAGTAGCACCATCTGACTCAGTTTTCGAGCTCTTCTTGTTCCAGGGACCCAAAACACCAGCACCTGATCCAACTTCAGAATTCTTTTTGTCCCTAGAACCCCAAGCAGCAGCATCTGATTCCGTTTCCGAGTTCTTTTTATCACTAGAACCCCAAACAGCAGCATCTGTAGAACCCCATGCAGCAGGAGCTGATTCAGTTCCCCCGTTCTTTTTGTCCCAAGATTTGTCTGAACCAGATTTGTGTCCCCAAACGTCAGAAGTTGGCTCATTATTTTCTGGGACAATAGAATCCGTCTGAGCTGGTCTTGTTTCCCAGTTTGGTGTTGTATCTGCATCATCATCCTTTGTCTTTAAGCCCCAAGCAACCCCTGAATCTGACTTGGAAGATTCTTGAGCATCTTTTTTAGTGTTCCAACTAGACCAAGCATCTTCCTTCTCAACATTTGTAGTCTTTTCCCAATTAGACTCCGGGTTTGCCTCACCACCTGTATTTTTTGAGACTCCCCACTCTGAACCACCACTGCAACCATTGTCCCATGAAGAGCTTTTCTCCCAGTTGGATTCTGATGGCTTGCCTTCGTCATGTAAATTTTGGAACTCGGCACTGTCCTCAAACTTGGGCTCTCCAAGAGAAGAGTCTCGCTCGGGCGATTCAGCCCATTCAGCCATTTCTTCCTCTGTAACATCAAAACCAGGGGAAGAAACATATGCATCTGCATTTGTCGTGGATCTGACCATTTGGAGGAAGCTGTACACATCTGTTTCTTCTTTATCATCTAGACCAGTCTGCAAATAAGTTGACAATAAATGTCATCAAATTGCATAACAAACTTATATGAGAAAACCTCAGTCAATTGGTATGATTTCCTCTACCTCTTTTTGGTTCCATAGGAGCTCAAACTGTGAACCTGTACCAACATCCACGCGTTTTCCCCAAGAACAAGACCCAACGACTGTTGACAGAGAATCTGTATGACATTTCTCAGCCGCTTTCTCAAAACATCTTCTTGGTGTCTAAAAGCGCAAAAAGTAATTCCTGTTAACATGGACGGCCTGTATATAGTCTGAGAAAATAATTTGTATTAGACATTAAAGGATCGAACTACTAACAATCAGAGTTGCTTCTGTGAATGGAGCCTTGATGTTTAAGGATCGGGTCAAAGCTTTGTAACCTCCAGAATTGAAACCCAACATATTCCCTGAACAAGTCATGTTGTTTGCTAGGAGAATGATGTGTTCTTTCAAAACTCCTTTGGAGACCATTCTCACTGAAGCTGATAGACGCTGCAAATCAAATCAACATCTTACATTTAACTTCCTTACACAAACAATGAGCAAATATGATACCAAACATGAAATAAGTATCATGACTTAAGTGTAAGATCCAGTCCACGGATCACGTTTTAAGTTATTAAGTACCTGTACTGCTTGCTCAAAAGCACAGGATAACCCAAGCAATTCTTGCACTTGTTTTATAGAATAAGGGATTGACCGTTTTGTGTCTATTAGATGAAGCACTGAAAGACATGCGTCTATCACAACCCTCCATGCATCACCACTTTGCTTGACAGCAGATTTTTCAACAGTGACATCCAAAACCCATTCCCCTCGGCGGGATGCATGACGATTCCGGATCCACGTTGTCATGTCTGAACTATTCCAGATTATATTTGCTGAGCAAATCCGTGGATCACCTGCTCAGTTTAGATACAGGAGTAACATCAAAAACATTATCAAGAAATCTTACTAAAACATAGGCTTTCTTCATAGTAGCACAAAATTTCGATCACAACTTGGAGGAAAATTTAATCAGACTAGTTGAGAAAATATTTTGGTTCATTAAACTTCTGGCAAATCTAGAAAAATTTGAAAGGAAGACTATCATATACACTGCACCCCCATCAAAGAAGAAATCGACGGGTAGGGAAACAAGAGAAATATACAAAAAAAAAGAAAAGTGTTATTCAAATACCTTTGATCACTGTTTCCAGCAGAACCGGGTAAATTGTATTGCAAAGAACATCAAGAGTTCTTTCTAGATCAGGATCGGTGGCACTGTAGGAGAACATCAAACAAGGCATATCCGAATCTTTTCTCCCACAAGGATCTTGGAAAGAGCAGCACTCACTGTTCATTGGAGATAAATCAATTTATAATCAGGTAAAAACGATGGAAAGAAGATAACTGGAAAGCTAGAAATCAACATCAGACTTGCTTTCTGGACAAATTCTGCATAACATTCAACCAGAGACGACATCCAGAGGAAAAGCAAATCATTGTACAAACCTGACAGACAAACTTGTTCTCCTGAAGTCATCAGTAGCTTTCTTCTTTTTCTTTTGTCCTAGTGAATTAATTACATCCTCACACTTTTGAAGTATATCCTGCATACTGATGTTCCAATCTTGCAACAATGTCTAGTAAACCAAAAACACCAATTACACAGCAAGAAAAGGATAATAGTAAAGTGTTTCTATGATATGTAGAGGCTTCCAGAAAGATTTAACAGTAAAGGAACCAGAATTCAAACCTTATCAAGATGAATATGGCCATGTAGGCATGAATCGATTCCAAATATTTCTGATATAGTTTGTTGCTTTCTGTATCTGCATGCAATTAAAGAGAAAGCAGATGGCAAAGAGGTTTAGTAAAACCAAAAAAAAAACACAAACACTAAAAAGAGCAACATAAGTTACTAAAACCCAATTCTTACTCGACTAGGAATTCCACTGCAGTATCTTTAAGACTAACTTTCTTCAGCTTGTTCCTGACTGTGTAAGCAGCATTTTCCTGGCAAAACCTTTTTCCACAATGGCATTCATTTAGATAAAGAATTACGCGCCGATCATTAGTAGTGTTTTGGAAATTGACTTTGCAGAGCAGAACTTCCTGGGAAAAGGACAAATACAGAAAACAGTTATACAACAATACGGATGATCAAAGCTGTATTCAGGAAGCAGCTCTGATATTGCTATACCTTCATTTGCTCCCATGATGAATTACTATTAGCAGTAGAATCAAGCACTGCCTTATACGCAGGATTTGACATGGCAGTAGCTGCCAATACTCCAACAGGTTCTCCCGCTTCAAACAGACCTTGATGTCCACGTTCAGAATCAACTCCATATGTGAACTGGACGACTGAGTTACTACAGGTGTTTCGTACAGTTCCATCGTTTGTAATCACGATATCCCGAAGAACAGCCATCAGGTTCTTAAAGAGGGTTCCAGGCTCAGCTAACCCCCTTGAAGAGCGAACAATTACCTCCCTAGCTGCAATTGAATGAGCCATCTCTTCATACGGATCCAGCCCATGAAAGAAGCAGCCCTTCACTATTCCAAAATCACCAGATGAAGAAATCCTGCCATACTTTCTCTTACAAAAGAGGGCCATGTCCTCTACCAGAGTCTTCGTATAGAACTTCTTCTTGTCAGAAAGCTGAAGACCCAAGAAGCCTGTTTGCTGCACCAGCTTGGTGATTGCTGAGTTACTCTTGATGTCAATCAAGTTCCGCATGGAATATGACTTCAGCATAAAGTTAGCAGCCACTTCCTTCACTTTGTGGAGGCTGTTCTCTAGTTGCAGTTCATCTCTATATGATAATCTCAAGCGAGACACCATAGGTGAAATCTCTCGGATTATTAGGTTGTGAATTACATCCATGTCTGCCCTGGACATGGATAAGTCTTCCAAACTTACACTAAAGCCCTCAGCAAACAGACTTTCCATCAATAGAGGCTGCAGTGAATCAAAGAATCCAAGTGTCTCCTTTGGACCCTTCTCCAGGAAGATTGAAGTTACAATTTCATTGATGATGGATGCCATCGCGTCAACCCCGAAATCAAACTTCAGCAAATCACTTCCATCAACCATGAATCTATCTCCTTTGCAGCTCAGACGCTCTGGAAAGGCAAGCTGTAAAATCTGAAAAACTGTCCAAGCTGGGCCAGATTTACTGGACTTCCTTAGTGCTGGTGGTGGCAGAGACAGAGAGCCATACATAGCTAACTGTTGAGCAGTTGCCTTGTCCAGAAACACCCCCTCCAGCATTACCCTCAAAGATAGTAAAGAATCACAACCCATCTGCAGAATCAGCTGTCCAGTATGCGAGCTAAGCAGTTGCTTCTCCACAGAGAAAAGCTCCATAACCTCTGCCTTAGCACTAAGTGACTGAGGGTAGAAGAGATGGACACAATCACCATCAAAATCAGCACTGAGGGGGCTACACATCAGAGGGTTAATCTTCACGGTGTTGTCTTCATGAACATACACCCGAAGCGCTTGAAGAGAATGTTTATGGGTTGTCGGGGGTCGGTTGATGAACACAACATCCCCATCCATGACCCTGCGATGAACAACCTGCCCGGGTTTAAGCACAGTGTGCCCCTTGGATCCATCCCTTAAAGAATAGGTCGTGGAACCTTGAGTATAACTCAAACACAACTTGTCGTCTACCAACTTTTGTAGATAACCTATGTTGTGGACACTAACCCTTTCCTCAAATGTGATTCTCTGCGCAATTTCTATTGGGATCCCTACCTCATTCACGTGTCTGTAAGCATCTCCAGTGATGACGCTACGGGAAGAGAAACCTGAACCCTTTCGGATGAAAAGTGTCCTCATTTTTTGTGTCCAAGCTTTTGAAGATGAACTATCCGAGATCTTAGACACCCCGTATCTCATATCAATGTTTCTTGCAGCTTTTGCAGTACCCCTCACCTGCAGATAGGTATCCACCACTCTAAACATGTCATTGGCTTCAGCCTTATGCGACTCAAAGTTTGTCTCGCCAGACCTAGAGCTTTTTATGGCTATCACTTTCTTAAGGACGTCTTTTAGCTCAATTCTGGAAGGATCCTGAAAATAAGAATGACACAAATCCAGGGGTTACAACACAAGCCAAAGCATTCAATAAACTCAACACAGTATTTTAGTTTCAACTTACCACTGACATGGAGCTGTAACCATCAGAAACATCTGGCACTGACAAGCAGTTAGGCGGGACAGGAAGATATTCTAATATGTATCCTTCTTGAGGAATATGTCCCTTTGCTGTGAGTTTCTTTCTTGTTTCTTCGGGGATCCGTCTTAAAATTTCCTTTACCTATTTGTTTTCCCAGCATATGGAAAAGGATACGGAAAGTACATAATCATCAGTTTCCAGAAAGGAAATATCTTCTTGATAGAGAATGATTCCAAATAAACAAAAAGAACGTAACCATAAAATCCTACATAAACAGAAACATAAGCACGCAGAAGAAAGTAAAGACCTCTCTTGCCAGCAGGGGTCGCGTATAATCGCTTCCATAGCGATAACCATATCTTTCCAGGAAATTCCAGCAACCCGCCTGCAGTCTTGACCTAGATGGGAGCTTCAGTTCTAGATATGAGGCACCATCTGATGCTCTATCTCTGATTGAGATTTGCGAAGCTTCCTAATAAAGTAATTTAGTAGTTAAAAATCCAAGACGTTCAGCAATAATAACATCCAAAATAACATATAAGCAGTGAATGTTTCATGATGTCACGAAAATACCAATAGCTACTGCTTCACAAGCATTGATTAATGTTACTTTCACTGAATGGATCAAAAGAAGCACAATAACTATTTAGATTTGAATTACCACGTTTTCTAACATGCAACTAGTTGAAGGAAAACTTAGACATCTAACTAAATGCTGAACCAGGGTCCCATAAGAAACATCTATCAACTTGCTTTTCAGGTAAAACTTAAAAGGAAACAATCAGAATGTAGATGCCATTACTCACCTCACAACAGACACCCAATAAGCGATCCGCCAGACCACCACTTGTGCTCTGTGCTCAGAAAGGTGAATAAGATTGGTCGAGAGTTTATATGGTTTATTCATGTGTGGATCACATGGAATTTAAGAAAACTCAATGAGGTAATACCTTTGCCTTCTTTATCTTCAGACATTTCAAGCACAGAAGGCTCAGCATTTGTTTCAACTCATTAACATGAGCAGGATGGTATATTGGCACTGGAAGCTGAATATAACCAAAATGACCTGAAAACGTAGAAACAAATATCGACATCTGAAGAAGTATTCCAACAAACGATGTAAGAACAAAAATATAGCAAATACGGAACTGGATTACCTTCACATTTATCTGGTTCTGTCGCACCGCAAGATTCACATTTACCAAATTCAAGAGGTAACCCCAAGAATGAGTTAGTGAGTTGACTGGGATGATTGATTGCGGATCCACTAATTGATGCTATACACTGCAAGACAGAATTACAGTCCAGTGAGAAATGGAAGAGAGACAGAGGATATATTGCAGAACAAGATTTATATGCAAAAGTGTAGCACTTAGCATTACACAGAGCTTGAGTACAATTATAGTGAAATTTAGTGCCAAGTTAACCAAAACATAGAGGGTTTTAGCTATTCGCAATCCTTAGTTCTGTAAAACCCATGATAAACATTGATGCAGAACAAAATGGATCAAGTCCAGAGAGTATAACTCTTATAACTTACAATTTCATGGTGAGTTGCAAGAGCAAATGTGATTCCAACAATCTCTCCTTCTAGAATCTCTGATGTAGATTCTTCCTCCATGACAAAACCCTAAAAATCGAAAACCAGACACCAGCAAAACCGAGTTAGCTCTTATCAGATGTATAGCAAACAGAGAAACAAAGACATCTGAGCTCACTAACTTGATAAAACCCCATAAATTTCCATAGAAAAATCAAGTCTTTGAAAAAAAAATTGATGAACAAATTCTCAAATCTGTAAAAGAAACAATTTTTCTACTCGTTTACACAAAATCGAAGCTGTAGTAACACACAGTGAACCAAAAAATCCGAAATTTCAAACCTAGAGTAACCTACATTTGAAACCACAACAAACCCACTACGGAGAAAAACCCCAAAAACACGGCGGAGTCATGATCGACCTTTTTCCCCCGGAAAAACATCGAAAGATAAGAGTTGGGTCTGACGAAAATACCTAAGAATCGACGATTCAGCTGCGTATTTGACCCGCTTTAGCTCCTGAACCAGAGAAGAAACGAAACAACGGGAAACAAGGGTTTTTGCAGGTGAAAAGAGGGAGAAATCTGAGTGAGAGTGAAAATGGCGGACTTTTTCTTTAAAGAGAAAAAACCCCAGAAAGAAGATTGCCAGAGAACAATTTTGGAGTGACTCTTTTTTTTCTCTCTCACAAAAATCTTTTGTTCTTCACTCTTCTGCTTCCGTCTTTAAAACCCACATTGCATGCAAAGGGAGAGATTTTTCAGTTTCCTTATTAATTAAACTAAAAGTTATCAATTTTAATTTTTCTTCTCTTCATTTTTCACACAATTGATAACACTTGGGAAATATGCAATGATGATGAAAATGATTAAACAAATATTTATCCACATATTATGCAAGACCATGTCAACCATTGACAAACCTTTTTGAGAAGAATTAAGGATTGTAAAACCATAGAATTTGTAGTGAAGCAAAACATATGAATACTAGAGTGAAACTATTTTTTCGGATTCGATTTTGGTGTTGTGTATTTGATCGATCGTTATAAATGACCGTTTCCGTTTGCAACACGCTATGTTTGGTGCGAAAAGAATCTGGCGGGAGCGATGTTTTAAAAGATAACGGGTTAATTTATACCAGAAAAAACGGTAACAACTACGTGGATCGACTTGTAAAGAAATATTCGAGAATTTCCTTTTGTCCGTGAATATGTAAACAGTTGACCAATCAATTAAAGACATAAAAAAGGCTCTTTTGTGCCTTCAAATATTTTTATATAAATTGTTAAACTATTTTTTCGATTTTATTTTGGTATAGTATATTTGATCGATCGCCATAAATGATCGTTTTCGATTGTATATTGATGCGATAAGAATCTGACATGAACAATGTTTTCAAAAGATAGAACTTTTTATTTACCCGAAATTACGGTAACCACTTTTCATATCAACTTATAATGAAAAGATCGAGAATGTTAAAAATAACTCTTTTTCTTCAAATATATAATTTTGTTTACATATAAATGAAAAACATGATTATAAATTTAGAAAAATATTTTGTAAATAAAAAAAAAAGTAAAGGGTAACTCCAAAATGGAGTGACATGTGATATCATTCCATATTCATCACTCCATTTTAGAGTTGAGAATATAGTGGTATTGGAAAGGATTTTTTTCTAAAATTAGTATTTACAGTAAAATTTGGAATAGAATTGGAGATGCACTTATTGGCTCATGGATTTTAAAAGGGAACAAAATTGCCTCGATTTCTTTCTATATAAGAGGAATTAATTGGAAATTTTTATTCATTCCAATTTTTGTAAAGTTGTAACCAAACGAAACGATATATGCTTCCTCTCTCAAACGATATACACAAGTCAAACTATATTTGCATTTAAGTTTATATGTACAAATCAAAAATCAAAAGAATTTTATGAAATCAAGTTCCGGTTGATATTGGTTCTTGTGTATAGTTTAAATTGCAATTAAACCGACTTTCAGATTGGCTATTCGGTTTACTTTAGAGGAATTTGGTTTCGACTTTCGACTTTGGTATTTGGATAAGTGGGTTCGGGTACTATAGTATGAATCATACAACTACTTGATAAAGAATATTTGCTTTCTCTACTTAATCACAAGTTATATTTTTTGAGCAAAAACCCAATACCTCAAGAAGACCCACACAGAGATGTCAAGATGGGTCGTTTTACCCTTTTTTTACCACAATACTAGCTTACTACTATTTGGCTTCCTAACATATATATCAATTTGTTACTTACAGGAGCTCATGACTCCTTCACTTGTCCCACCTCGTCTCTTTCTTCCTCCTCTTCTGTCCACGTACTTCCCTGAGAAGCTCTTGAAGTTCTTCACAAAGAGGTTCTGGAGTTAGCTGAATGATCTCATCATCATCACCGTCACTATCCTCCTCTGGCTCCGTCTCCTTCTCCTTTGGATCCGTCTCCTCCTCCTCTGGCTCCGTCTCCTTCTCCTTTGGATCCTTCTCCTCCTCAGGATCCGTCTCCTCCTCCGAACTTAGCCATCCACAGTGAAGATTTTCGACACCTAATCAATTATTTTGACCTCAGTAAAAGAATGTTTCATTTCATATGTTGAGATTGTTATGGATATGAGTAGAAGCTTTTACTACCTCCAACAGAACCTTGTGCATAATCTGCTGATGCTTCTCCCAAATGTAAAGCTGCTGGTGATGGGTCCATGACTGCATCGCTATTGATTGATAACTCATCAGCTTGGTCTCTTCCATACTCAATTTGCATGTCCTGCTCCTGCTCCTGTATTACAAAAGATGGATCATGCTGCAAGTTATATACCATTTGGGTAAACCAAGTTCAAGAAGCCTGTCAATGGTTTCTGATAATGCAAGCAAAACGAATCCCAACAATGTAAGCAACAGATTTGTAAACATGCATAGAAGAGAAAGAGAAGGAAGAAAAACTAATCACATTCTCTTCTTCTTGTTCTTCCCCAGCCAATTGGTTGGGTTGTTCTTCCTCAGCTATTTCTTGGTTTTGGTCCTCAGCCATCTCTTCATTTTGATTCTCAGGCAATTGGTAGGCTTGTACTTCAGCCAATTGTCTGTCTTTTTCCGCTTGCTTTTCAAGGCAGATAGCAAGGAGGGGACCATAGCTATCATCTTCAATCAAAAACCATTGGTCTTCACCATAGACCTGAAATCCAAAGTGGGTAAAGCGTTATTTTCAAGTTGCAAGGAAAATGTTATCAACAAAGGAAAAATGGAGACCCTAAAACTAACGAACAAACCTCTAACAGTTCCTTAATACTCTCACTGATAACACGCTCATGAAACCCAAAAACTCTCATGCGATCTCGTGCTGCATCCTCTCGCATCAATCCAGGCTTCTGCAAAAAGGCAAAAGAAAAATAGCAATTTAAAAGCATAGAAAAGAGAGACAATCATAGAAGGAAAAAAACAAGAACACCCATCATGAAAAGTAGTATTTGTGAACTTTTGAAACGACTCAGGGACCTCTTTGAGAAAGAGGATAATCAGCAACCGAGAAAGAAGCTGATAAATCGTGAGTTCTGTTTTAATTCTTCTCTTATTATTAGTGTCAACTAAGCAAACAAACAGAAAAGACAAAGGAGAGTCAGAGAGATAGAAACAGGAATAAAGATTCTCCTTTATTTCTTTGTCCTAAGGTTCCAAAAACGTTCTTCCCAGATTGAAGAGAGAGGAGATGAGTTAAGCATGAAGAGCTTTCTATGGCATGGTGGTTCTGTTTATGATGCTTGGTTTAGCTGTGCATCGAACCAGGTTTTAATCCAAACAATTGACACACTAAACCAATAACATGTGTCATTTTATCGATTAAAAATATCTTCTAATTTGGTTGGCAGGTTGTTCAAGTTTTATTGACACTACCTTGTTCATTTTCACAAATGGGAATGGCATCAGGTGTAGTTCTGCAGATCTTCTATGGTTTTATGGGAAGCTGGACTGCTTATCTCATCAGTGTTCTCTACGTTGAGTAGAGAAGTCGTAAAGAGAAACACAATGTTTACTTCAACAACCATGTCATTCAAATACTTCATCTCCATAGTCATTCTACTCTAATGTCTATGTCTATGCTTTTCTCTTACTTAGCCACTACACTGTCTAAAAACTATATGATCCAAAAGGTCATATCCTTACTTGCTAGCCTGCATTTTAATTTGAAAAAAAAAAAACAAAAAAAAAAAACAGTAAAGCTTATACCTTTCTTCTTCCTCTGGGAGCCATGTTGATCCCTCACAAATCTCTGTAGTTTCTGAAGAAATTGGAGGACGAAAGTATAAGTCTTTGGGTTAAAATCAAACAAACAACCAAACAAGTGATCCTTTTTTCAAACCTATGTAACAACAAAATTCAACAGTCGACGAAAAAAACTTGGATCACAAAAGATGAAACAAAACAAAAGTTGAGCTCTTTCCCAAAAATCCCAAATCAGTAACACTAGAGATAAATCAAAAATGCCCTAAATTTCAAACCCAAAATGAAACCAAACAGAATCACAACAAAACCCAGAAACACGAGCTTAGTTTCGCGACAGAAATGACAATGTACTGAGTTATTTCGTTCAAATTTGATAGGGAAAGAGAGAACTTACGGCGGAGAAGATTATATCGGCGGCGACTGTGGAAGGATTTTTAAGAATAAACCGTGAATCGCCTCCCAAACTACTTCGTTGATGAATGGAAGCCAAAAAAATCAAAATAAGTAATTAAATAATAAAAATAATAAAGTATTTGTTTGGGTCAACCATGTTCTCTTTAAGTCAAACATTTTTCTTATTGGTTATTACGACTGTTAAAAGAATTTTAGTTGACGTAGCAATACTAATTAAGCCAATGATTTTTATTTTTACCTAAAATAATATTGCAATTGTAAGACTTGACATTAAAATTGAGATTAATTACAAGTATACATATGTGACTTTTTGTGTGGGAAGGTTTGTTTATACGAATGAATGGATGTAATTTTATTTTTTAATAGATGTACTTGTTCGAGTTTCAAATAGATCAAATGGAAGTTCGTTATAATCCGTATAGATCAAAACAAGACTAAATATACTTTGAAATTTCTAAGTAATATCAAGATTATATCGGTTGTTATTATCGTTGGTTAGAAAACATTAAAAACAACTATATATACTTGTTGCAATAGCAATTCATGAGTAGTGTTACTTGGAAATTGTTTAATTTTATTGGGCATAAAACACCAAAAAGAGGAAATGGTACATGTTTAAAAAAAAAAAAAATCAGATGTTCATTTGGACTCCAACAATTTGACGTTGTTGGCTCAGAAACACTCCATTGTCTAATGCGGCGGAGCAAATGTCAGTGGTGCGGCCGCGGAGGAGGACACTGATAACATTTAGCAAAGAGACCAAAAGTATCAACTTGTTTAATGAAATTAGTCATACTGGCCCATCCTCCTAAACCAAAACCAACCACCAACACCCAAACCACCACCAAGACGTTCACCACATACGCACCTCTCCAACCTCCAACCAACGCCGGTGGCTTCTCCGCAGCGTTTTGTCGTGAATAAGCAGAGCGGTAAGTGAGGATGTGAGCGAGTGATGGGATAATGTAGACGGTGAATGTGACTAGAAGTGCACCAACGGCTGAGTTAATGGGACCAAAGAAAGGGAAGATTATGGCTAAGAACCAAATCGGAATCACCACCGGCAATCTTGTGACCGCTCGTATCAAAATGCTATTTGTCTCGTGCATTCCGACCACTTTCTCCCACACGAAATATAGCGGCGTGCAAGCGTACCCGAACGTTATAAACTGCATTAGACACATTATCGCATTACTACATACACACATAAATTTGGTAAAAATGATTTGGATACAATAAATGTGATAGAAATGAATTTGATATAAATATTTGTATGTGTTCATGGAGACACTAATGGTGTTTATCAATGTTCAAAAATCCATGAATACATTAACATTAACTTATTAATTATTTCTATTTTATTTGTTATTTTGTTTATCCTTGTTTAATCTTATTCACAAAATGATAAAGAATTTCGAACCAAAAATAACAATGTTTATAGAGACCTACCTGGTGGATGAGCATGAGGATGACTGCAGCATCGCGCCACGGTGAGTTAGGAAGGAGAGAGAAGGCATTCGCATGGGTGAGAAGCTGATCTCCAAAGGCCCAGTAGACGGAAATGGCCGACGGAATGGTTAATGTAAAGACATAGAGTGTAGCCATTAGATATATGTACTTAAACGTTCTTGGCTTCCACATTGCATGCATTATCTCCCTACAAATTCAACTCATTAACATTTCAAACGTTAAAAACAAAGCGAAGAAACAACAAAGGTTTTAAAATACTTACACAGTAACAGCATGGCCACCAAAAGTGTACAATATATTAGTGGCTCCAGTGAAATACAGAACCAACTTGGTTGGACCGGAATGAGTAACTCCTTCGACCTGACCGTGGACCAGAGCCGCGATGGTGAGGTACCAAGCGGTGTAAGTTGTCATTCCAAGACCAAGAAAGGACCATATTCTATAGTTGTGAAACGACGGTATGAACACCGTTGTTGCACAACATGCTCCGAATATGTAAGTCCATGTCCTCTTGTCCAGCTTGTCGTTTATGTAATATATGTTACTGTCCATTATTGTTATCATACGAATAAAATCAAAAATCAATAATGTTTTATAATCAATATCGAATAAATTGAGATCTTAGCCAACCTTGCACAAGCGATGAGTTGGATAACAGAACCAAAGAGAAGAAATGTGCAATTGAATGTTAATCCTATTGCTTTCCAATATGGACCAAGCAAACCATCTAACACTTCGAACCACTGCGATTAATGCTTTAACGAGATATAACAATCGCGGGGATTAAAGATCTAACGGTAGAGATTGAATTCAAGAGTTTTGTGAGTGTAAACCTGAATGACATGGTTGTTGAAGTTAACATTTTGCTTCTCTTTTCGACTTCTGTACTCAACGTAGAGAACACTGATGAGATAAGCAGTCCAACTTCCCATAAAACCATAGAAGATCTGCAGAATTACACCTGATGCCATTCCCATTTGTGAAAATGAATAAGGTAGTGTCAACAAAACTTGAGCAACCTGCCAACAAAAGTAGGATCCATAACATGACCGATATAGTGGTTTAGTGTGTGAATTTTGATTGAATTAAGACCTGGTTCGATGCACAGCTAAACCAAGCATCATAAACAGAACCACCATGCCATAGAAAGCTCTTCATGCTTAAATCATCTCCTTTCTCTCCAACCTCATTCTCCATTATTCCTTCCTCTGTTTCCTTAATCGACATCTTCAAAATCTGCTTCATAAGTCAAAACCAAAAAAGATTTGGAAACTCTGTTTTTTGAGTTTGTATCTTCTATGCATCTAAAGTTTCTACTAAACCAAAAACTAAATGGGTCATTTTTCCTAATGGTGTAGAGATGAGTGATAGTAGGAAGAGAGTGAAGAACAGTTACATAATTAATCTTTTCCACTAACAATGGTGCTTCTTCTTCCACCTGCAAAAATATATATAAATCAAGATTAAAGAAGTTACCTACATTTTTAAACAAAACTTTGTATAAAAGTTACAAAAAAAAACGTAGAGAATTGGCAAAACAATGAGAATTAGAGGGAAAACATTTTTGGAACCTTTAGGACAAAGAAATAAGAGAGAATCTCTATTCCTATGTGATTCTTCTATCTCTCTGAGTCTCCTTTGTCTTTTCTTTCTCGGTTGCTGATTATCCTCTTTCTTCTCAAAGAGGTCCCCGAGTCGTTTCAAAAGTAAAGAAATATTTTTATGATTCTTTTTGGTCAAAATCATGGTATTAAAAAGAAAACACCGTTTTTGTTGTACTTATTACCTATCATTAATTGTAAATTAAAGAAATATTCGTATTTGCTTGTAAAATACAATCACACAGGTCATACCGTCATACTGTTATATTTCCATAAGTTTTGGATTTTTTTTTATTTTAAAATTTATATTTCTTTCTTAGAAAAGAAATTTTTTCCCTGAATACAGGTTTTAGAGCTTAGATTACGGTCAACTTTGTGCCAACAGTTTCCGGTTTTAACTTTTTTGAAATAATTGTTATTATATTTATAATTTTCACAAAAATGGAATATGCCATTATGTTGAGCTAATTATAATTTAATTTTCCGTTTTAATGACCTAACTAGAGTTACAGTTTTGTGTTAACGCTTAAAACAAATCTGAATTTTTGATTAACTTTTTATCTTTGTAGGGTATGAAAGAAATAATAAGCACTCCCTATCTTCTTCTCTTTTCTACAACTTTTTGTATTGTCAATATTACGAAATGGTTCATATTTCTTTGTCTTTTTCTCTTTTTTCCGAAGAAGTGTTCATATAAATATTTTTTTTTTTTTTGGTAAAATTCATATAAATATTTGTTCGGTATTCAATCTTTATTGAAAATTTTGGTTAACGTGTGCGACGGAAAACCAATTTTTTTTAACTAGCCAATATTGGATACAATCAAAATATGACTGATTGACTATAGATTAATGTCTTCGTTTTAATTTATTCCCAAACGGGCACCTTATTACACGACTTCCATCTTAATCAGTTACGACTAGAACAGTACAAGATGGACTCAGAGTGAGAACTATTGAGAACTAAAAAAGGATTATGTGGCTTGTTCTTAGAAAAGGTTTAGGCTATAAATACTCACTTAGTCTTTCATAGTAAAAAGCTACTAATTTTCGTACATTAAATAGTCCAGAATTCATTATACTTTTCTAATCTAAAAGTTAATTAAATACACCAGAATCCATAACAGTTGCAATCATGGTTTAAATTCAAAGAGTGTCGTCCTATATACATATCACCATCATCATGCTCTTCTTTTTAAAAAGCGAGCCTTCACACTTTAACGATTGATCTCTAAAAACTCTTCACTAGTGTTTAAATTTTTGGCTAACTTTATCAGAAAAAGTTTATACAAATGAACATATATATAAGAAAAAAGTAGAGGCTTTACTCAAATCGTATAATTGGTTCTCATATCCTTTCGCACGAGAATATTACTATTTATAAGATATGGCCAAATGGTATGACTTGGCTACCTAACTCGTGCCTCGTGATGTGCCACACTGATTATACATTAAAATTGTATTTGTATAGTCGTGATTGTACACTGTTATGCCTTGTTATCTTCTGCATTCCAACATTCACCATGCTCCATATCCGACCAAATGTGAAATGTGTGACATCTACTAAGGCGTGAGGATCTTGCGACGATTGGGTCAAGAGCTTGAATCACGTCTTCAGGTGTTAAGTTAGCCTAAAACCAAACAAATACTTCTGAATTTCTGATACCCTCCTGATAAAGTATGTTTTAAAACTCATGAGTGTATTTTTCTACATTTTGGAATATTTTTTCGTTTTTTGCATTTCAGATCCATGGACAAGTGTTTTTCTTTAAGGTTTTACGAGCCAATAGTATGATACAGCCAAAAAGGTTAATCCACAATTACAAGTGAAGAAAGTTTCAATATCATTGGGATGGGCAAATAATGCCCAACATGTTTAATGTTAATATTGGGCTAAAAGCCCAACTAAAATAAAAATCGTATTACTACAAATCCAACAAATATAAGCCGTTAGATTTAGGTCATCACACAAACCCTAACCGTTAATCCTTCCGTATCCCGAAAACTATATAAACTTAAGAAACTTCTTCTCCAACCTTTAGCAATCTTACGCAGCTTTTATCTTTTTTTTCTCCTTACTCTTCAAAAAAAACAGTTACAGAGGTTAAAGAGACGGCGCCAATTCGCTGTCCGCCTTGTACGAGCTCAAGCTTCGTCTAGGCCCTCGATTTTCTCTACCCCAAATTTAGTTTCTTTAGTCTCAGTTTAGCATTTTTAAGTAGAAATGGCGGTGAAAGCAACAAAAGCAGAGAAGAAGATCGTTTACGATTCGAAGCTTTGTCAGCTTTTGAATGAGTACCCTCAGATTCTTGTCGTTGCAGCTGACAATGTTGGATCCACTCAGCTTCAGAGCATTAGGAAAGGTTTACGAGGTGATTCAGTTGTTTTGATGGGGAAGAACACAATGATGAAGAGATCTGTGAGGATTCATGCTGATAAAACTGGCAATCAAGCTTTCCTCAATCTCCTTCCTCTTCTTCAGGTTTCATTTCTCTTCTCTTGAATAGTATGTTTTCATTTGGATATAAAGTTTTGATTTTTTTTGGTTCTGTGGAGAATTTGATTTGGTTTGTTGTCGAATGTTTGTAACAGGGGAATGTTGGGTTGATCTTCACTAAGGGTGACTTGAAAGAAGTCAGTGAAGAGGTTGCTAAGTACAAGGTTTGTTTATTGACTTCAGTGATGTTATTATTGTTGTTATCAAGTTTTCGTATAGTGAAAAGTATGGATTGATAGCTTGGTTAGTTTTATGCTTTACTTTGCTTGAGATTATTATCTTGGATAGTGAAAGTTTGTATTTTTGGGTTTAAAATGGAATCATATGTGTTTTTGCTTAAAATGCAGCCACATTCCAATAGGGTAATTGAGATTATTTTGGTTCATTGAGCTTTGAGGAGATTACATTTTCATTGATTGGTTTATTGCTTAGCTTGTACTGTTAATTGATTTGGTTAGTTTATGATCATCCTTTAACGTATTGCTTTAGGTTATTAACTTTTAAGCTGAATAGTTAATAAGTTTAAATTTTGGTTTAAATTGGAATTCAAAACCCCTTTTGTTGTCTTGAAATGCAGCCACTTTTAAGATTGGATTTGTGAGTCCTAGTTTCTTAGGCTCATATTTTTGTAGCTTCCTTCATGTTGTTTGATTGAGTGATTTTTTAAAACTCACCCTTGTACTGTGTTAATTGATGAGAAATTCAATGTCCTTTTTTTGACAGGTTGGAGCTCCTGCTCGTGTAGGTTTAGTCGCTCCAATTGATGTGGTTGTGCAACCAGGCAACACTGGTCTTGACCCTTCACAGACATCCTTCTTCCAGGTGCTTAACATTCCAACAAAAATCAACAAAGGTACAGTTGAGATCATAACCCCGGTGGAACTCATCAAGAAAGGTGACAAAGTCGGTTCATCTGAGGCTGCGCTTCTAGCCAAGCTTGGAATCAGGCCGTTCTCTTATGGTCTCGTCGTTGAGTCAGTCTACGATAATGGCTCAGTGTTTAACCCTGAAGTGCTTAACCTCACTGAAGACGACCTTGTTGAGAAGTTTGCAGCTAGTGTCTCGATGATCACCGCACTTTCTCTTGCAATCTCTTACCCAACCGTAGCAGCTGCGCCTCACATGTTCCTCAATGCTTACAAGAATGTTCTTGCTATTGCCTTAGCTACTGAGTATTCTTTCCCTCAGGCTGAGAATGTGAAGGAGTTCCTAAAGGTTTGTCCTTTACGTTTTGCGTTTCAGATTTTGGGATTAGTAGTCATAAAATTGTTTGTTAATTGTACATTTATGGATCAGGATCCAACCAAGTTTGCAGTTGCAGCGGCTGCACGGGATTTAGTAGAGTCTGGTGGAGCTGTAGTGGCAGTAGCTGTGGAGGAAGAAGCTGCAGAAGAGTCTGATGGGGACATGGGATTCGATTTGTTCGGTTAAAATACACCGTCTTATCTTTTGCCAATCTATTTTCCTCTGTTCGTCTAAAATAAGCCAGTCTTAGCCTTCGCTATTTATTTTTGTGGACCTGTTAAATTTTCACGTTCAGAGTATCATTGTTGCACGTTTATGGATATTTTGTTTCTTCATCAAAAATACCTTTCTGGTTTTAATTTCTCTCCGTTGAGAATTTTTCTGAACCCAATTATACTGGTTAACATTGTCATGTCACAAGAACAATATTTGCATGATGAAAATCTTATTTGTCAGTCAGGAACGGTATAATATTTAACACAATTTAATAAAATAATAATTTTTAGAAAATTATATGTAAATATATATACCCATCAATATTTTAAATATTATATAAATTTATCAAAATATATATTATATGTTATATATGTAAACACTTTTAATAATATATGACTTTAGTATTGTTTTTTTTTAAAAAAATTTCATTTATTTTTTATAGAGTTCATTTCTAGACTTAATAATTGTTTTTCTTACTTGTAATTGGTTAATTAAACCCGAACAACTTGAAAATCGTTCTCATGAACAGATAATTCTAACATGCTCGCCAGGTTTGTGTGAGAATTCAGATCAGCGATAATTTTTTAATCCTTCAAATAATAAAGAAGATGAGAAGAAACATAGCTCTGTTCTCTTCATGTCTAATCTATTAGCAAGGGAAATGATTTGTTGCGTGACTACAACACTAGAGACATTCTAAACCTGCGAAAAAATTCAAAAACATCTCAAATTTCAAAATCACAAGTAAAAAACGATGTTAGTTGATTAATGTTCAGAATCACATATCCAACAATCTCTTGAGATATTCCGACAATGCTAACCAAATTTGTGTGAATTTATTCGGAGGATCGATTTGGGTCTTGTTTGATTTGGGCTAAGGAAACAACTAAGTCAAAAAACTTATTCATAGTGTTGATATGTCAAAAACTTTGTGTTTGTGCCAAATGTGTACCCAACTATGAAGTGAAAAATGAAGAACCAATGTTCTTAATAAAGTATCAAAAGAGTCAATGTGTAAGGATGATTTAACCAATGATCATTAGGATACCAAGATATTATGTACTATTAAAAATGTCATAGCATACTACAATTTTTATAATTAAAGAGTGAAATACTCCATTTTCTATGGTTTTCCTAAACTACCATACTTTCTATTATTTACAGAAAAATATTTTATATTATTTTTACAAAGCCATACTCATTTGAAAAAAAAAACTTCAAGTTCATATAGTTAATTTACCTGAAAACATGGTGCTCATTTGTTACTGAATGATAGATTGTGATTTTTGAGTTTCGAGTGTTGAAATAAAGACAAAACTCAAATTAATAAGATAATGATTCTTAGCAAAAATATTTAAAATCGGTTACTTTATATATTGATGCTTTTCTTGTATAATGGTTGGTGTGTAGATCTATCTTTAGAAGATTGCAGCCTTGCTTAGTCCAAATGGTGGTTTTGAAGTACCAAACCTCACTTATATTATATATACTTTCTGAATTATAGTAATTCATATCAAACTTTCCTTAGATACATATCAACAAAATATCATCAAATTATTAAAAACACTTTAACAAGATTGCATATATAGCCTATCCTCATAATAAAATTAGATAATAATTTAATCAAGTGTTCCGTTAACTTTATTAACTGTTTAAAGTGAGTTAAACAAAACAAAAACGAAAGAAATCAAACTGTTTATAGAAGAATTAAAGGGGATAAGCATGCCTTGTCCTTTGGTTGAAGCACAAACATGCTTTTAGGCTCATTTTAGGCATTCCCATGAGAGGAAGAAACATAGGCATGGGAATTGCGGAGTTGAAGGTGGAATATGTCGTCTCAATTATAATAATCAGAATAAGATTTAAAAGAAAGAACAAAAAATGAGGAATGTGGTGCTTGATTAACGTCAATTAAGTTAGCTTTTGTATAATTTAGAAGAAAAAAACTGAATTTTGAGGATTTTAGTGGATAAGGACTTTCCTCTACGATACGTTGTTGCGATGACATCAGTATTATAATTATTCCAAGTTGTATCCATTTTTCGTGTCACACGTAAAAAGTCAAAAAAAGAGTCCGACATAAAAGAAGAAGTGGGAGATGTTTTCATGTTCCCAAACGGATATACATCAAAATTGTTACGACTTTTTTAAAAAATATTAGTTATTGCATATCCACAAACGTCATAGTTCTCTAGTACGAGATTTTTCTAAACTACGATGGGGAGAGATCACATGGATTGCCGAATTATGGTTACCGTCGTTAATTTTTGAGGTGAACTATGTAACAATTAGAAAATATAAGAATGTCTCATCAAAGAATTTTATTCGTTTATTGGAGTTTGATCTCATCCACATGCATAATTTGATATATCTTTCTCATTCCGGCATTTATTGAGGAATTTAGGCAGAGTGATGTGTTCCCATACCAAACTTTATCCGAATCATGCCATCTTATAAGTTAAACAATAGCTAAAAACAGAACATACTGAAAATTAATACAATTACCAAGGAAATTTTTTTAAAAAAATACAGTAATTGATTGTTCAGGTATCGTTGTCTGTTGAAGTCGTCTTTTAGTACTATTTGGTATTTTCGATTGAGTGTAGACAATTAAATACTAGTAGTAGTGTTTTAGAATGAGGCTCAACCAAAATCCTTAAAACTTCATTTACAAATAAAACTCAGATTTTGGTTTGGGCATGACATTTACCTATTGGAGTACAAGCCTTTTTCCTTAACTACCAAATTAATTATGGTTATTACTATTAACTTTTTATTTACTTATTAAATGGTTTCTTGATTAAAAAAGGAATGGATATGGATAATGGTCGGATAATGCGGCCGGAGACATGCTTCATTCCCAGGAAACCTGTTTTTTGATAGCTCAACCTTTGTTGACTCCTTCTTTTCTTTTCTTTTTTATGATTTCAATTTTCATAACAATAATCATGAGTTTATCCACAAACAAGAATATTACTAAAACCCCTTTGTTTTCCCATTGATACAATTATATAAAGTAAAGAAATACTATTACACAACTTTATTTTATTTAAACCAGTCCGATGAAGAAACATAGAAAATGTGTCTTTCTCAAAAACAAACGCACTTAATCATCCAATCTCACTTTTTAAAAAAAAAAAAAAAGAGAGAGGATAAAGAGCATTTTGATGCATTTTTTAGATCTTCCTAAATTTAGAATCTTTTACTCGATGGTAATTGTCATTTTAATTTTTTCTTTGTTAGCTATACTCTAAATTAACTCGATGAAGACAATTTAATTAGTATTACTTGTTCATTTATGTATATCAGATTATGTCATTGCTAAGAATTAGAGGAATAAATAAAATAGTAGCCAAAAAAAATTGTGATAAATAAATTGAAATAAGATAGATGCCGATTATAGCAACAACTAAGGGAAAAAAAAATGGTTGTTGTTCTTGGATCAAAAAAATTAAAAAATAAAGGTAGTTGGTGATGGCCCATCCAAGTGGATTAATCAGCGGCTTAGATAAACGTGAAAGCCAATCAGAGTTCCAGCTGTCATGCCACGTGTATTCATGTTCTTGGAACCGTTAACTTGCTCTGGTTCGACCACGTGGCAGTTGAGAACAGATGATAAGAGTTTTGGACCAAGTTGGTGTGAATGCCACATGACGAATCCCACGTGTCATTTTCTTACGCGCCAATCCACCTCATTGGTTGCCCAAACGGATGGAAGCCAGGCCCCGATTTAGACTCCATTCCTTTTATTTATTTTTGGAATATCACATTTTCTTAGTGTATATTTTTCATGTCGACAAAATTATTCCAAGTCAAAAATAAGGAAATACACAAGAAATTAGTTCGATAATCCTATGTGCATAGTAGTGTATGTTGATTTTTCCAACTGCGTCAATGTAAACGTGAGACTTAAAAATGTTTGCTTTTACTTTTTAGCCATTTTCATACATCAAAACATGCAATGATCTATTTTTCTCTGTCATGTATATTCTTATAGCGTTATTTTTTTTGGTGCTTATATTCTTATAGCGTTATTAATCCAATATAATATTAATAAACAATAATTAGACTTTCTTATTTTGTTCTTTCTAGTGGAATATACGATGTCACTGTTTTTCTTTTTGTATGAAGTATAAGAAAAAAAGACTATGTACAATATAAAGGCAAAATAACTTTTTTAAAAAGAGTGGGAGAGACTTATCGTAAACGTGAAAGGAATTCTAATAAGTAACACCATATCCTTTTGATACTTACTTATATAACCCATCCTATACTAATATCTATTCCTAAAGAAGTAATGAATACTTTTTGCATAACTCATTTGTTACTATCAAGAATAGGGGTGAGATAGACAGATTCAAATTTTTCTAATGATCTTTCGTTATGTGCACGTGAAATCATTCTACAAAAGTGCAAATTCTATGAGACGTAATAATTTAGGTTGAACATAGAAAAGAATGGGGACTATAAAAATTATTTGACCATATATAAAATGTGAATGTATTGTATAATTAATATGGACCGGTGGTTGCTTGTTTCATATCATGATCATATCTAAATGGAATAAATTGCGAGTCTTTATCTCTATCACTAACCAGATATATGGATGAGATATATTCTTTTATATACATGCACTAATTTTCTTTTTCCTGATCAAAAGATGACTTATTTATTTAGTTATTTGAATTCAAAGTTAAGGAATGAGGAAGCATCCAAGGAAACATAAATTAAGCAGACTGTCTATAAACCTCTTCGCATACTTTTCATATGTTTTTTTCTGGTTTTAAATGTAATCGTAAGGGGTAGTAAATTAAATAATATGAATGGTGGAATACTGGAGTAACCAAAACAATAGTTAGTTTTATTATACTAACTATTTGAAAGGGAAAATTGCATAGTCGTATAATATCAATGCAATACGCAGAAATAGAATAGAGTTACAATATGATAAAGCAAAAAATATCGATCTGCTATTTTATAGGTAATTAAAAAAGAAAAATAACAAGAACATAGTTGGAAGTAGCAAGATGATAATAGC